ACATGTGAATTTCTTTTGTAGTTTCTGACTCTTGTGTGATACTCGGGCCTTCAAGTTTAGTTCTGCTTCTTTTTTTTTGAGCTTTATGTGTCTTTGTGGTTTACTTTTTGGGTATGAAGAGCTGGTTCGTCTAAGCTTCTGGTTCTCTCTTTTGATTTTATATTGTCGTGGCCGGATTGATTTTGTCTTCAGGAGTTCCGCGGTGGCCCAATTCCAATGTGGATCAGAAGTTTTCAGACTTTCTCCTTAGGTCTGGAATCTTCTAAGAATGCTTTTGGCCTCAGGAACTTGGGTGTTGGCCTGACCTGAGACCCTGGCCGTGGCCATGCCACGCAGAGATGCAAAGGCAGATGGGGAGGGAAGAAGCCCCAAGATTTCCCAGGGAGTGGGTTGAGTAGCTGGGTTGTACAGGGTGCAAAGGATCAGGGAGCGGAAAGGTAAGCCTCGGAGCCCCAGCAAGAGGCTGTCAGCCCCAGAAAGAGGCTGGCAGGTGTTGCAGGACCAGGGAAGTAGAGGGAGGTGAGGGCGGGGGAGTACCAGAAGCAGTACACCTGAGGCCCAAGAAAGGCACTGAATTGGTCTGGGTGAGAAGGGTCAGGAAGCAGTATTGGTTCCCCAGGTGTCTGGGGCCCGAAGACTAGGAATGGTGCAGGGCCCAAACTAGGAGTATAGAACGGCAGGTGGGATGGAAGGGTGAATGTAGCTTAGGGAGTCCCAACACGGAGGGCTGCGCTATAGACTTACCCCAAGAGGCCTGAGGATAGTAGTGCAGGCTAGGAGAGTTAGCCAGTGGTGCAGGCCCAGGGAAGCAGAGAGAGGTGAGGGAGGGGCCAGGACCAGAAGCGGTGCTCCTGGGGCCCAAGAAAGGGACTGAGTTGGTCTGGGTGAGAAGGATCAGGAAGCAGTATTGGTTCCCCAGGTGTCTGGGGCCCCAAGACTAGGAATGGTGCAGGGCCCAAACTAGGAGTATAGAACGGCAGGTGGGATGGAAGGGTGAATGTAGCTTAGGGAAGTCCCGGCCGGAGAGCTGCGCTATAGACTTACCCCAAGAGGCCTGAGGATTAAGTAGTGCAGGCTAGGAGAGTTAGCCGGTGGTGCAGGCCCAGGGCAGCAGAGAGAGGTGAGGGAGGGGCCAGGACCAGAAGCGGTGCTCCTGGAGCCCAAGAAAGGGACTGAGTTGGTCTGGGTGAGAAGGATCAGGAAGCAGTATTGGTTCCCCAGATGTCTGGGGCCCCAATACTAGGAATGGCGCAGGGCCCAAACTAGGAGTATAGAACGGTGGGAGGGATGGAAGGGTGAATGTGGCTTAGGGAGTCCCGGCGCAGAGAGCTGCGCTATAGACTTACCCCAAGAGGCCTGAGGATGGTAGTCACAATTTTTTTTAGATAGTGTTTCATGTAGCCCTAGGTCTGTAGTAGAGGATGACCTTGAACTTGTAATCTCCCTACCACCACTTACCAGAGAGCTGAGATCAGACGTAGGCAAGGTGCATCATGCCTAGCTTTTAAAAAATGTGTCATACTAGGGCTTGGTGTGGTGGCATATGCCTTTAACCCCCGTACTGGAGGTAGAGCAGGTGAATCTCTGTGAGTTCCAGGCCAGTCTGGTCTACTAGCCAGTTCTAGGCTAGCTAGGGCTACAGGGAGACCCTGTCTTTAAAAAAAAAAAAGTGGTACTAGGGATTGAACCTAGGGTTTCATGCATACTAGTCAATCACTTTCCCAGCTAATCTTCATCCTCAATCCTTATAATTTTTGGTTTGGATGTAAGTAATATTCACATTATTTAAAAATTTTAGAACCCTGGGAAGAGAGTAAATGACATAAGGTGAGGGTACTGTACATGGCTGTGGCTGTCACACCAAGGAAAGGGGAGCCACCCAGCAGGGCAGAGGAACCTGGTTGGTGGTTTGGCCCCTGTTTGTGTGTCTGGAGCAAAGTGGATAATTTATCTCCTGGCACCGTCCAGCATTGCCTCTGTTTGTCACAGAAGTTTCCATCAAAACAAACCCACTGTGTAGCTGCACTCCGTTTTTCTTTTTTTCTTTTTTCTTTTTCTTTTTTTTTTTTTGTTCTTTTTGTGACAGGGTCTCTGTCTGGCCAGGAACTCTCTATGTTAACCAGACTGGCCTTGAACTCACAGAATCCATACCTGCCTCTGCCTTCTGAGTGCTGGGGATCAAAGGCATGCGCCACCGTGCCCGGCTTGCACTCCGTTTTTCTGATGTTAGCTGTCAGTGTGGAAGCTCTATGGAAGTTCTGACAATATTAATATTTACTTTAAGATGTTATAAAGAATTGTGCCTTCTCGATGACTTCTTTTCCGATTACCTCTCAGTAATGGAGGCTTAATGAAATCACTGCTTTCTCTATGTTGATATACGTATGACTGTTACTGCAAGAACCTGCTTTGTACCATTAATGCTTTACTTTATTAGCATTTCTGAGTAGTATTCATGAATCATTTGGGCAGCATTTAGAACTTACTAGCACTTTCTGTTATTTCTTTGTCAACAGAACAAACTTTCTACTTTTTATTTTATAATGAAAATAGCCCTGAAAATCACACAAACGTATTTACAGGGTCATACTTCATTTAAAACATTTGTTTTAATTATAGAAAATTTCAAATATGAAAGTATTTGAAAATGGAGAGAACAGAGTAGTAAGTCCTCAACTCTAACCTATCACTCTGCTTAATAGTTCTCAAAGATTTTTTTTTTTTATTTTTATTTTATGTGTATGGTTTGAATCCCAGTACCCACATGGCAGCCAACAACTGCCTATAACTCCAGTCCCAGGGGATCCAACAGCCTCTTCTGACCTCCGCGGGCATTGCACAACATGGGTATACTTACCTACATGCAGGCAATACATGTATATACATAAAATAAAAGTAATAAAAAAAATTAAAAAAAAAACTCAATAAAATATATTGAACATTTTTCATGTCAATGTGCAGATATATAAGTTGACCTCATTTCTTTTTTCTTTTTTTAAAAAATTTTTTATTTTTTAATTTTATTTTGTGTAAGCACACCCGTGTCGTGCAGTGCCCTCAGAGGTCAGAGAGGGTGTCAGATTCCCTGGAACTGGAGTTACAGATGGTTGTTAGCTGCCATATGGGTGCTGTGAATTGAACCCTGGTCTTCTGCAAGAGCAGTCTCTCTCTCTCTAGCCCTTCTTTTTTCTTCTTTTTGAGACAGAGTGTTCCTATAGTCCCAGCTGACCTAGAACTGACTACATAGACCAGGCTGGCCTCTATCTCACAGAGATCCACCTACCTCTGCCTCCCAAGTGCTGGCATTAAAAGTGTAAAAAGGCCTGCAGAGGCATGTGCCACAATGCCCATTTACTTCATTTCTTTCAACACCTGTATGACATTAATTATATTGTATAGGTGAACTATAAATTATTTACCCAATTCCTTTGCTGTTAGGTTATTTCCATCTCTTCCCCATTATTGTTCTAAACAATACTGCTTTAGTCCTTTCTTCTTCTGTGGACTTTTTTAAAGTACAGTAGCTGGATCATAGGTTAAGCACATTTAAACCTTTGAAGCAGTCCAGAGTACTCTTTAGCAAGGTGGTATGGGAAATTTACATTGCTAAGAGCAATGAAGGCTGTTACTCATTCTTCCCTGTTAGCATCAGACTCAGGGAAGTTTGAGGAACCATCTTGTGTGGTCACACGAGGCACTCACTGTATTGTGCAAGATCTGAGGGTAAGGTTGTGTTCCATAATTTGCATCTTCCTTCCCTAGTTGTTAGGAATAATGTAGTTATGAGTATTTTATAGGCTATGAATCTTTGCTATAATTTCCTGTGACTTTATACCCTCCAAGAAGCATAAAACCACATTCTCCTTAATACTCTTTGAGTTACAACATTATTTAAGGGATATTGTTTTTAAAAAAATATTTTATCTATTATTTTTATTTTATGTGTATGAGTGTACTGCCTGTATGTGAGTGCACCCCTGTCGTGCAATGCTGCGGGGTTAGAAGAGGGCTTCGGATTCCTCTGGAACTGGAGTTAAGGACGGTTCGTAGCTGCCATGTGGGTGCTGGGAATCGAACCCATGTCCTCTGCAAGAGCAGTCAGTGCTCTTAACTGCTGAGCCATCTCTCCAGCCCCCCGGGATATTGCTTTTTATGTAGGAGGCTGTACATTGGATGCTGTTTACAAACCTCGGAAGTCAAAATATGTACTAAAACAAAGCAGCGCTAGACAAATGGATGAGGTAGATGAACAGGGGGATCTTAATAAGATTGAGTTGAAGGGTGAGTTAAGGAATTTTGTGGGAAGTTTTTGTTTTTTTTTATATGAGGGGTCCGGGCTCTCACTCTGCTGCCCAGGGCTGGCTGTTGCCCCCGGGCTCAAGCAGTCCTTTTGTTGCAGCCTCCTGGGTCACTTGAATGCCCGGTGAGGAGATAATTAATTAACTTTGTTTTTTTTGCTCTTTTTTTTTCACAGGCAGCAGTTGGCTATCTTGGCTGACTTAGTGAAAGATTTGCCGCTGGAGTTTGACTTCCTCTTTTCACAGTCTCAGGCCGAAGTGATCTCTGGGAAGCAGGAAGGTACTGGGCTTCTAGCCGTGGAACTGGGTCTCCTCTGAGCCAATCACAGCTCAGCTTCCTTAGCAGGCGGTTAGGATGTATATATGTATTCAACTGACTCATTTTTCTGTCAAGAGATTTCTTGATTCTGCTCAATAGTCTATTTGCAAATTCTTCATTAACAATCTGTTTTAGAGGGCTGCTTGTAGAAATCATAGATTTATATCCAGTTTTGTTATTTTGTCGTGTCCCCCCCCCCCAGCTGAGGACTGAACCCAGGGCCTTGTGCTTAAGCGCTCTACCACTGAGCTAAATCCCCAACCCCTATATCCAGTTTCCAGTTTTAACTTTGCATTAGAATTATGCTTAGTATTTATTATCTAATGATAACCCCAAATGGATCTTTGAGTAGCTAAGTGTACCTTGGAAAACATATAAAGTTCTAGGAATTGTATAAATTTTTCCAAATTTAAGTGTAAAGCAAATTACTATGTTAAGGTATGGTGAAACCTTAATTTCAAGAAATGCTTAGACCGAGTTACTTTATTTTGAGCGCTCCTTTTACTGCAGTTACTGTGCACTTTTTCTACTAACCTAACCTGGATTTTATGTTCTCATGTGGCCCAGATGTGGCTAGAGTGATGCATTACTACCATTTCTTTTTGAGACAGGGTCTCACTATGTAGCCCTTGCTCACCTGGAACTTGCTTTGTAGACCAGGCTGACTTCATACTTGTGACAATCATCCTGTCTCTTCTTCCCTATTGCCGGAATTATAGGCATGTGCCACCATGCCCAGCTGTTTCCATTTCTTGAAAGGAGATGATCTTGGGTTGAGGGAGATGGCTCAGTCTGGTAAAAATACTTGCCATGCAAGCAAGCATGATGACCTGAGTTCAGTCCCCAAGTATCCACATAAAAAGTCAAATATGGTGACACACCCCTGTAACCCCAGAGCTGGGGAGGCAGAGATGTGATATCTGGAGTTTGCTGGCCAGCTAGCCTACTAGAATGGGTGACTGAAAAGTAGGGTGGAGAGCAATTGAGGAAGACACCTGATGTTGACATCTGTCCTCCATGTACATGCACACGTGTGTGTGCTTGTTTGTATGTGTGCATGCTTGTATGTGTGCATACATACACAATTAAAAAAATTTTTAGAAAGGAGGTGCTTTTATGTCTGTAGTTGCAGTCTATCAAAGGAAGGAGATTTCCCCTTTAAAATTTCAGTCTTGAAGTTTCGGTTTTCTTCTTAATGTTCTGTATCTTTGCTGACATTTTCTTTTTTGTAGACTGAGAATGCTCATTTCTTGACCACATGGCCTCTTTCATATGTTTGATAATTCCAATAAATAAATAAATAAATATATATACACACACACACACACACACACACACACGTATATATATATATTTGAGACAGGGTATCCCTGTAGCCCCAGCTGGCCTGGAACTTGCTATGTAGACCAGGCTGGCCTCAATCTCACAGAAATCCACTTCTTCCAAGTGCTGGGATTAAAGGTGTGTGCTACCATGCCCTGGTTCACGAATTGAGATTTCCCTGCTCTTTGTGTGTGAAATAATTTTGTATTGTATGTAGGACATTTTCAATATTAAGAGGTTTTTGGTCCTGTTTAAGTTGTAAGGAGAACATTTGATTTTCTTTTAAACGTTTTTTTAAAAAAAGTACTTCATATTCAATTTCATACCCACTTTATATGGGTTGATCCGAGGAGTTTGTTTTTTTTTTGTTTTTTTGTTTGGTTTGTTTGTTTTTTGGTCTTTTGAGACAGAGTCTCCCTATAGTCCCAGCTGGCCTGGAACTCACAGAGTCCACTTGCCTCTGCCTCTCGAATGCTGGGATCAAAGGCACGTACCACCAGGCCTAGTGATCCTAGTAGGCTTAAAAAAATATTTATTTATTTATTTATTTATTTATTTATTTATTTATTTGGTATATGCATCTATTTCTACCATGGAGTACATGTTCATATAGAGGTCAATCTGAGGGGGAGTCCTTTCCTTCTACCATTTGGGTCCCAAGAATTGAACTCAGGTTATCAGTCTTGGCAGCAAATGCCTTTACCCACTGAACTATCTCGCCAGTCCTTGTATCAACTTTTTATTTTGCTTTATACCACAACATATATGCAGTACCCTCATCCTAAGTGCCTGTACCCACTGATCCATCTCACTGGCTCTCAGATAACTTTGTTTTGGTGTTTTTTAGAGAGGGTCTCCTTGTCGTCCTAGCTGGCCTGAACTGGTTATGTAGACCAGGCTGGCCTTGAACTCACAGAGATCCGCCTGCCTCTGCCTCCCAAGAGAAAATAAGTCTTGAATCCCTGGAACTCGAGTTACAGTTGTTAACCATCATGTGGGTGCTGAGAATTGAACCTGGATCTTCTGTAAGAGCAGCCAGTGCTCTTAACCACCGAGTCATCTCTCCAGCTCCTCAGTTAGCTTTTCGATCAAAGCCCTGACATTATTATTTGGATAGTCCTGTGTGTATCAACAGATGGCCAATCTGAGACTTGGGTGATAGGCTGTCCCACTGTTGAGTCCTGAGGCTGTGGGCATGTTGTTGGGGATCAGCTCCATGCATGTGCAGCTTGCAGGTGAGCTCAGAAGTTCATTCACAGCTGTATTCCCCGCTCTCATGGCATCCCTGACACCCTCTAGTTCTTCGGAGCTCACTTTCATGGTCCTCTGGCCAGAAAAGCAGGCTTCCGGTGTGTCCACTGTACCAAGTCTGTACTGTGATTGAGCTGCACCCAGGTCCAGGTGGGCAGAGAACACAGCAAGAAAAATAAGTGAAAGGCTATGGCTCCTCTGACCAAAAGGAATTCATTTCTTTTAACATTTTAGGTATCTGTCCACCTGTGCCTTATCATCTGCAGGAATGTCTCGGTAGGAAGGAACAGAATAAATAAAGCAAGCCAGGTCTAGCATGGTGGCACATGCCTGTATTCCCAGCACTTGAGAAACTGAGGCAGGAGGATTATCCCAAGTTTGAAGGTATTTAGTAAAGTGAGTTCCAGGCTAGCCTGGGCTGCAGATTGAGACTCTCTATACAACAAAACAAACTGGGTGCAGTGGCACATGCCTTTAATCTCAGCACTGGTAAGGCAGAGGCAGGTGGATCTCTGTGAGATTGAGGCCAGCCTGGTCTACATAGTGTGTTTCAGGCCAGCTGGGGCACAGAGAGACTGTCTCAGCCAACAAAATGAAACAACACAAAAACAAAAACAAAAACAAAAAGGGCCTGAGGAGATAGCTTAGTCAGTAGTGTTCTTGTGGTATAAGCATGAGATCCAACTTCAAATCCCTAGCACTCATAAAATGCCAGGAGTGACAGTATGTGCCTATAAACCCAATACTGAGGAGACAGACGGGAATTCCTGGGGTTTGCTGACCAGTCAGTCTTGCTGAATTAGTGAGCTCTGGGTTCAGTGTGAGACCCTGTCTCGATAAATAAAGTGGAAATCAATAGAGGAAGACACCTGACTGACTTTTGGCTTCCATGAACACCCCCTATCCCCCCATGTGCGCACACACAGGAAAACATAAAAGGCAAGGATTCCCCCCGCCCTACTGTCTCTAAACCTTTGGAATCCACTTTTTTGCTTTTTGAACCAGAAAGCAAAGTCTGAAAATTCTTTCTGTCCACACCTGTTCATACTTCATATTTCAAACTGCTTTCAGGTTGAGGCCAAGAAATATCTAAGGGGAAAAAAATGACTCACTACTAGTTTGGGTATTTTAAATGCTTGCTTCTTTCTCAGTGTGCTATTTGTTTAACATCCAGAGTTCTCACAAATCTGCCCTGTGCATCCCACCCAGAGCTTATATTTGCATCTTGTGAAGACAGTGGGTAGATGCATTACTCTATGTTGCCCAGAAGCACAATTCCAGGACCCCCCTCCACCACCCCCAGTGCATAGACCCAGCCCAAGCACTTGGTAATGCTAAGTAGGTGCTCTCCCACTGAACTGCATCCCCAGCGCTTAAACTTTTAAACTTTTATTTTTTGGTTAGTTCCTATTCTTTGTAGAAGAGCTGGAGATAGTAAATCATTGTAGAAGAGAGAAAATTCACATAAAAGATTAAGGTGGCTGGGAATGTGGCTCAGTACCTGCCTAGCATTCATGAACCCTGGAATCAAGCCCCAGCATCCTGGGGATGGGGGTTGCCAGATGGAGAAAGAGGGAGGGAAGAGAGAGAAAGATTTAAAGTCCATGCACTGAGAGCATGAAATAGAATGTTGTGCTTCACTTTTTTCTAAGGGAGGGAGGAAAAGACCAGCCATAGGGAGAGATACAAGCATGCTATCGCAGTAGAGAATTAAGGAGCCCTTTTATATTTCTTACTTAGGAGTTTATGCTTGGATTGGAATCAACTTTGTTTTGGGAAGATTTGATCATGAAGATGGTGAGTAATTCTGTCTTGTGATGATTCTTCAAGGGCTAAAAGTTTAAATCATAACCTATCAGTAGTGTGTAAGTGCTAGCTTTGGGTTGTTTACTTTTTTTCCTTTTTACAAACCTTTTTCTTCTCCTTTTTTTTTTTGAGACAGAGGCTCCCTGTAGCCCCAGCTAGCCTGGAACTCACTATGTAGACACATGACTGCCTCCTGAGTGCTGGGATTAAAGGCATGCGCTACCAGCTACCATGCTTGGCTTTTACAAACCTTTTAATATGGAAGGCTTCAACATCTATAAAGAGGAATAAGTAATAAAATGAACTTGGATGGACTAACAGACTCAACACAATACTTAAAATATTTTGCTAGTTTTTTGTGTCTGTCCTCTCTATGTAATACTTTTTTTTTCTTTTTTTTTTTTTTTTTGAGACAGGGGCTCCCTGTAGCTCAGCTGGCCTGGAACTTGCTATGTAGACCAGGCTGGTCTGGAACTCACAGAGATCTGCTTATTTCTGCTAGGATTAAAGGTGTGTGCCACCACAGCTGGCCATACTTTTTTTTTTAATAATTTATTGAGAATTTCATACAGGCATATAAGCACATAAGGTGTTTTGATCAAATCTATGCCCACTCCCTCCCCTCCAATTCCTCTCATATCTCATTGCTTTTTTCTGATAACTTCATGTATTCTTTCTTCTTCCTCTTCTGCTTCTTCTTCCTCCTCCTCCTTCTCCCTCTTCCTCCTTCTTCTTCCCCCTCTTCTTCCCCCTCCCCTCCCCCTCCTCCTCTTCTTCATGGGGCTTTTTGCTACTCTAACATTTTCCCCTCTGAAGAGGTAACCCTAAAATTTTTTTAAAGATTAGATAAGAGCTCCCAAATACTCTCAATATTTTTGGCCCTTGGAATAGAATATGTTGCTAAGAGGCCCAAGGACATTGTGAGTTTTAGCCAAGAAACTGGCTGCTTTTCTTTGGGGTCTTTTTACCCTAACTGCCTAGCCAATTCCTACCTCCTATTCTTATCACACCATCCTCTGAAGAGGTACCCAAATTGCCAATGGTAAATCGAGATGCAGACCGCTCTAGCTTCTTCCATGCTGAACAGGGACGCAGGGTGAGGCAATTGGAGTACCCCTTCAGTGGGCCTATCTAAAAGATGCCCAAATTGCATAATTCTTATCTCAAGGAGGAAAAGAAAGTCTTTGACTTGTGAATAGGAGATGTGAAGGAGAAGTAAAGGCAAGAGTAATTAGCACTACAAGTTCCAGACAGGGAACTAGAAAAAAGTCAGAACACGGCAATTTTCAAATGTTCTTATGAGAGTCCACTGAAGTTTCTTGACAAGGGCTTCCAAAAACATCCCTCTATTGGGTTCCTCCTCATTTTTCTTTTGTTTTCCAAGACTGGACTCTAGAGTGATGGATTCAGGATTTGCTTTCAGGTATGCTGATAGCTGTTGGAGTGGTTAGAATCAGTGTCATTTCCCTCCAAAGGCTTCTAAAGAGAGGTGGCTATCATTTTAGAACAATAGCGGGTTGTCTCCCTTAGCTACAGGTGGGTACTTCAGTATTACAGACCAAGATTTGAAGTCTTACATCTGAGCAGCACTTTCTGATTCAGAACAAAATCATCAATGAGAAATAATTGTCTAAATAACTTTTTATATGGACTTAAGCCTAATGTCTGAGAAGTGTAATCCCTTGAACTCTTAAAGAAATATACTGATGACTTTACTCTTTGGTTATACTTTCCTTTTGGGTGTTTAAGACATACAGCTGGCCCAAATAAATCAATTTATTTTTACACTTAAGGCCATTTGAGGATCTGTTCCTCAGGGGTCACATGGGCTTGGGAGGAGCTCCTGGCTCCTTTCTTTTACCAGTTCCATCTATGTGAAGATAAGTCAAAGGTCCTGCTTGACTATGGCTGGCTTCACTTGGAAGCATGAGTTGACCCTCTGAGTTGACCCTCCTCTTTGTAGACTGGACACTGGTTCAGGTCTATCTCGTGGGGTCTCCATGTCCTCCCTGAACAAGAGGACAGGTGACTTACTACATTTACAGGACATTTTGAGAGATGTCCCATAGTCCCCTGGAACTTAGTTGACCTTGGACGGCAAGGGGGGCCCTGAACAAGAGGACAGGTGACTCACCACAGTTACGGGACACTTTGAGAGATGTTCCATAGTCCCCTGGAACTTAGTCGACCTTGGAGGGCAAGTGGCAAAAACTGTCCTTTAAGTCCCTCTGACCAGATTAGTATAGGCCTCAAAGTATGGCTGTTAAACATCCAATAAGGTTAGTTCCACCAGTCTGGTACTTTTAATTATCATGTGCTATGTAGATAAAGCTTGGGTGAAAAACCAAATATTCTCAGATAAACCATGACTAGATGTATATTTTGTTCCTTAAACTAGTTACCTAAACTATGACCTTAGAAATTTTAAGATTATGTGTATATTATTTATGTCTCATTCTTTATATATCATAACAAACCTACACAGGCCTACATCACTTGCTTAGGCTTTCTCATTTTTTCTACTTTGGAAAACATCTCCATTCCCATATCCTTTTAACATCTTTTACATTCTTATTTTCTTTTTTTAAATAATTATGAGACATAATAACATTAACAAATAAATTTTCCATCTTTTGTGAGAATTCTTTTCCTGGGAATACTAAGCAATGCTTATTCCCTTTTTTTTTTGGTCTTTTTGAGACAGGATCTCCCTGCAGCCCCAGCTGGCCTGGAACTTACTATGTAGCCCGGGCTGGCCTTGAACTGACAGAGGTCCGCCTGCCTCTGCCTCCCAAGTGCTGGGACTACAGGTGTGCGCCACCACGCCCGGCTGCTTATTCTCTTTTAAGGTTCTATTGTCAAACCAATGTTTGACTAAAGTTTTACTGGGGAACCAATGAATTTACTAAGCTTACTTATCAAGATAACTGAGGGTTGCTGAGGTGTATGAATGACCTGAGGGTATGCACACTGGAAAGCCTTTACCCAGCATGGGTCAAGCATGGGCCACACTTTTTTTTAAACTCCCATTTTTTTCTTGTGTTTACTTATTTATTGTACATGGGGGGATATGCACATATGGCTTTTAATTACTCAAACCCTGTTCTCATACCATTCATTTCAGAATCAGATGCCGAGGCTTCCCTGGAATCGGTAGCAGGACGCAGAAGGACTGTGGGGATACTGGATATGGGAGGAGCCTCTCTCCAAATTGCTTATGAAGTTCCTACCTCAACCTCTGTCCTTCCTCCAAAACAGGTACTTTGCCTTGTATGGAAGTTCAGTTAGAAATGTCAGTATTTGTGAAGGAAGAATACTCTCAGTCTGGTGCCTGAATTCTGTTATTTGGTCAGATAGTTGCTAGCTTAGATTATCTTGAGTAGGTTACCTCCCTAAGACTTAGTGTCAAAAAGGCACTAAGTAATAGTAAATAGTATCTATCTTGTAAAGTTGTAAGAATGACTTGATAACACTGTATGAAGTACTTTAGCAAATGGCCAAGGTTATGTGTTTGATACATTTTTAGCAGTTATAATTAATACTGTGTATCTCCTAGGGTTGCCTGGAGAGTAAACATAAGTAGATGCTGGATGCCATTTGCTACATATCCTTTCTCCTTGTTCCTTTCCTTTGCTTCTAATACTCCTTACCTACCAGAATGTATTTATTTATTTAATGTATTTGTATGTGTTCCTGTGCGTGGGTGTGCATACATCTGCATGCATATGCATGTGGAGGCCAGAGGAGAATGCCAGGTAGCTTCCTTGATCACTCTCCACCCCACCTTATTTTTTGAGACAAGGCCTCGTTAAAATTGGAACTTGTAGGCTAGACTGGTTAGTCAACAAGCCCTAGGAATTCTCCTCTCCCCCAACATTGGGATTATAGGCACATGCTGCCACACCCAGCTGTGTGTGTGTGTGTGTGTGTGTGTGTGTGTGTGTGTGTGTGTAGGTGTACTTGAATGCTGATGCACACAAGCATGGAGGCCTGAGGTTGATGTTGCACACCTAGCTTTTTTATGTAAGTACTGGAGATTAAACTCAAGCCCTCATGTTTGTGTGGCAAGTATGGGCTGAGCCATATTTCCAGCCCCTAAAGAAGCTATTTTAACTTTTTTCCTTTTTGTGGTGCTGTGGATTGCATATGCCAGGGTCCTGCATATGCTAGACAAGTGTTCTGCCATGAACCGCATCTCCAGCTGAGAATGTACTTTGAGGGAGCTGATTCTTCAGAGAGAGAAAGAAGAATCTCTTCTAAGCACCTAGAAATAGGACATTAGTTACACTGCCTCCAGAAGTTTTAAACCTGCCATTGAGTCAGCCAGGGATCTCAGGCAGATCATGACAGTCCTGTAATTTGATCTAAATGGTAGTTTTGCATCCTTGGTGCTATAGATATTTTGGCCTGAATAATTGTTCATGGCTGGGTATCCTATGATGATTAGCATTGTCTGGTCTCTCCCAAATGCCAGTAACAGCCCTCTTCCCCTCCATTTGTGACAGTCGGAAGTGTCTCCAGACATTGCCAATGTCCACTTGAGAGAGAGGGTTTGAAATTGCCCCTGGTTGAGACCTGATTTTAACAGTTGTGACAATGTAGGGACTGTCAGGGTCAGTCCCGTTTTAAGGCTTGAATAGAAATCATGCTGGCTTCATAGAAAGTGACCATGGGCCTAGAATAGGTAGGCTTTTTCAGAGTAGAAGTTGAATGAGGGCTCTTTGCCTTGTGGAACAGTATATATACAAGGGCACAGAGAAGGCAGCAGTCTGAAAGGTCCAAGGAGCAGTGAATAGCCTTTTGCAGGATTTTCAGGAGTAGTTCTGGGAAGATAAGATGGAATTAGATCATGATGAGTCTTGTTGTCCAAGGGGCTTGGTTTTCTCTAGCTGGTATGGACCCAGCAAAAGTTTTGAGCAAGGCAGACTTATGAGCCTCAGTTCCATAGTAAAACAAACTCAGAAGGTCCTTTCCAACTGTAAGTTTTGTGACAGTGTTGGCCGTGTGCTGGTGTATTTTTAGGAAAATGATTTTGTTGTAAGTAGGAAAAAGAAATGTAGATCAGGGAGACTTGAATCAGAAATGGTAAAGGTTGACGAAGGAAATGGATGTGGAATTAGAAGGAAGGGGACACATTTCAACCAATATTTTGGAGTGAAAAGCCAGTGTAATTGGGTGAATGGTTGTGGTGGTGTGAGAAGGTCAGGGAGGAGTGAACAGCAGTGGTGAAGGTCCAGGCTGGGTAACTAAGAGGCAAAGAACCAGACACCAAGAGGAGGATGCAGGGGAAGTGCCGAGTTGATACAAAGCAAACAGTGTGGTCCTGAGGCTGTGGGTCAGAGCATCCATCTCATCTTCTAGCACTGAAGTCCTAAGACCAAGGAGATTAATGCTATGGTTGCAATGAGTCCATGCTGTGGTTGTAGATTTGGGAAACTAGTGTGCATATGAGGCTTTTTAGTTGATAATGTTAGTATTTATTCAATAGGTAAAATGAATTAATGGTTCTGTTATTGAGGAGTAAGTGGCAAGAGGCACTGGTCCTTAAAGTCTTAAATAATTTATGTGTAGAGATTTAGAAAGCAACACTGGTATAGAAAGTTTACTAGCAAGCAACAAATTAGATGCATGCATAGCAATATAGAACTCTCAAAATGGTTATTAGTGCTTAATAAAAAAAGGAAAGAAACACATTTAAAAGAGGTGTTGGAGGGGAGGGAGTGGGTGTAGATTTGATCAAAACACCTTATATGCATGTATGAAATTCTCAATAAAGTTTTTTTTAAAGTTAAAAACATTAACTAATCTCTAAATGCCTAATGTATGCTGTAAAAACCATCACATTTGGATTCCAGAACATTTTCAACACTGCAAAAGGAAACTCCATATTGCTTAGTGGTTATTTCCCATTTTCCCATCTCCCTGTCATTTTCTCTTTTTTATGGATCTCCCTGTTCTGGAGCTTTCATATAATGAAATCATACTGTATGGTCCAACAAGATTTGTTGATGTTGTAGTATGTGTCAGAACATCACTGCTTTTGCTGGCTGAGTAACTTTCCATTGAATAACCATTCTGTGTTTTGTTTATCCATTCATCAGTGGATTCATATTTGAATTGCTTCCACATTTGGCTATTATGAATAATGCTGCTGTGAATAGTCATGAATACACTTTTGTGTAGACTTAAATTTTTAGGTCTCTTTGGTATAAATCTTGGAGCTGCTAAGTGCAATAGCATGTTCACAAAAATACCACAGACAAATTGTAATTTCTCTTTTGCAATAATATACATAAATTAAAATTGTATATAAAGTACATTTAGGATGCACATTTTGGCTGAGGTAGGAATGGAAGTGGATATGAGGATTAACAGAAATAATAAAAACAAAAATGTGACTTTGCCATGACAGTGGACCATGAGCTCAAGAATATGATTAATTTAACCTCCATATATGAAGTTAACAAAAAACAAGGGTGGGCATGGTGGTGCATGCCTTTAATGCCAGCACTCAAGAGGCAAAAGCAAGTGGATCTCTGAGTTTGAGGCCTGCCTGGTCTACATAGTGAGTTCCACACACACACAAAACCCCCAAAAAACAAAACCCAAACAACAAAACCCCACTTTTCTTTATAGGTAAACTAAAACTGAACTTTTCTAATGCCCAAATCTGTCACAGGAAATATTAAAACTTGAATAGTTTTAGAAAAGGTCATAAATAGATCTCATCATGTCCTTCTTAAAAATACTTTAAAAATATTTATTTTTAATTTTTTAATCTCATGTATGAGTGTTTTGCCTTCATGTATGTAAGTGCACCTGTGTTGTGCAATGCCTGCAGAGGTCAGAATGGGGCTTGATAGGAATGGTTTATTTGATTTCATGGTTTGAAGGGATTCAGTCCACTGTGGTGGGAAAGACATAGCAGTAGGAGTGTGAGGCAGGTGGTCACACTGTGGCTGGTCTCACTGCCTTATGGTCAAGGATTGGAGAGAGATGAGTGCTGCTGTCTGGCGTGCTTTCTCTTTTTTATGCAGTACAAGACCCCAGCCAGGGGAACTGTGCCATCCACATTCAGGGTGGGTCTTCTCTCTTCAGGTAACCTCTCTGAAAATGTTCCCACAGACACATACAGGGTCTTGCTGTGTAACTCAGACTGTCCTTGATCTCATGATCATCCTGCCTCAGCTTCCCGAGTGCTGGGATTATAAGAATGCATTACCGTGCCCATCTATGAGGATGCATGGATGCTACTAGACATTTTAAAGAGTAGTCAGAAAATGAAGCCTAATGTATTAACAGTGCCACAGCTTTCTAGAAATGAACCAAAATGCTCTTTCTTTCCTCTTGCCACTGTTTTATAGGAAGAAGCTGCCAAGATCCTGCTGGCAGAGTTCAACCTGGGCTGTGATGTGCAGCACACTGAGCACGTGTACAGGGTTTATGTCACCACCTTTCTGGGTTTTGGAGGCAACTTTGCTCGGCAGCGCTATGAAGACCTTGTGCTGAATGAAACACTTAATAAAAACAGGTACAGTTGATACGGGATCACATTTCAAAAGTAGAATGTCACCAGGCTGCAGATACCACATCCAGCTAAGGTGGATAACTCTGTCTTCCTTTCTTTTTTTTTCTTTTTTTTTTTTTTTTTTTAAATATTTTACTACTTTAAAAAAATTTTATGTGTATGAGTATATTGCCTGCATGTATCTAAGTGCACCCATGTTGTGCAATGTCCATGGAGGTCAGAAAATGGCATCACATCCCCTGGAAGTAGAGTTACAGACAGCTGTTAACCACCATGTGGGTGCTGGAAACTGAACCCAGGTCTTCTGCAAGAGCAGCCTGTGCTCTTATTTACTGAGCCATCTCTCCAGCTTCATCTTTTTAACTGTTAAGCCTCCATAACTAAGTTCAGGGTGCTTTGGGGAATGTGGGTGTCCTGGAAGACTGATGATTACAAATTGCTTGGGTCACTGTGCTCCCATTGCCCCGGGGGGTGCTGTGATGTCTGGGGTGTCTGCTCTGAAGGCTTCTCGGTGTTCTTCACTACCTGCTTGGCTTCCTTTGCCATCTTGCTGCTCGTTTGTTCTGTTCTTGCTGAGCTGCATCCTTTCTCAGTACATTGGTATTTTCTGAGGAAGTGCGGAAGTCACCTACTTCAGGATGTGCAGAAGAAAAAAGTTTCATGTAGCTGCCATCTAGAATAACCTATCCTCCTTAATAAAGATTTTGAGTTTTCCTTGTAGTTGGTGACATGTCCTTAATAGTCAGATCCAGTTATTCCAGAGCATTCTGTATTACCACCTTCCCATTCCCCCCTTCAGTTTCTGCTTGTGGGTACATCATCCCACAAAGTGCACTTGTTCACATCTGCCTATTTAGGAACTGATGGACAGCTAACTCTAGTTGCCAATTTATGCAATTGCCATGTAATTTCTATCCTTGGCCAGATCTGTACATTAATCTCTTAGTAATGAGAGTATGATTGCTAGACAAGTACAGACCAAAGAAGTAGCACGGTGAGGAAAGAAGCAAATCTCGCCCCCACCCTACCCACCCAGAGGCTCCAAGCTTTGTGCTTTGCACTCTGGAGCTGGCACTCTGCCTGCTCTGTCCACAGCACATTTTGCTGCTGTGCATGCCAGGCCGGGTGGCCCCTGAGCTTCCAGGGATTTCCTGCCTCTGCCTCCCATCTTGCCATAGGAGCACTGGAATCACAGACAAGCACTCTTGTGCCCAGTTTTTACATGGATTCTTATTGGGGATTCAAACTCAGGTCCTTATATTTTTACGGCAAGTGTATTACCCACTGAGCCATCGTCCCAATCCCCAGTTCTGTTTTTATTTATTTTTTAAGATTTGTTTACCCTGGGGCTTGAAAGATTGCTCAGCAGTTAAGGGCACTGGCTGCTCTTGCAGAAGACCCACGTTCAGGTCATGGCAGTTAACAACCATCCATAACTCCAGTTTCAGGGGATTGATACCCTCTTTTGACCTCTGTAGGCATGGCACACATGGTACACACATATACATGCAGGCCAAACATTCATACATAGAAAAAAATATAAAAAACTTAAAAAAAAATTCTATCTTATGTGTGTATGTGTGTGTGTGCACAGATGTGTGCCAGACCCACAAAGGCCAGAAGACAATATTGAATCCCTTGGAGTTGTATAGAGGTGTTTGTGAGTGTGAGCCTCCTGATGTGGATACTGGGATCCAAACTCCAGCCCTCTGATAGAGTAAGCAGTAAACACTAACCACTGAACAATCTCTCCAGCCTCCCAGTTGTATTTTTAAGAATGAGAACCTTACTCAGCATGTAAGATCTTTGCACTTTTCAGAGACGTGTAGGAATGAAGTCCAGATGGAGAACAGCAGATTCATGTCTCCTGTTTACTCTTCACTGGGAAATACATACTGATGGTGGAATTGAGTAAAATTGATCACTGGCACATTTCTCTTTTTTTAAACTTAATTTTCTTGAGTGTACATATGGTGCCTTGCATAGTACTACTCCACTCCATCTCCATGCTGGTTATGAAAATCAGGACACGATATCTGTGACACCATTGTAGTTCTCAGATGAGGCTGGGTTAGCAGTCTCATGTTTTGTTTGTTTTGGTCATTGTGATAGATTGCTGGGCCAGAAGACAGGCCTCAGTCCTGACAATCCATTTCTGGATCCCTGCCTGCCTGTGGGACTCACAGATGTGGTGGAGAGGAATAATCAGGTCCTGCATGTCCGAGGAAAGGGAGACTGGGCTACTTGTGGGGCAATGCTGAGCCCCCTGCTGGCTCGCTCCAACACTAGCCAGGCCTCATTGAACGGCATTTACCAGTCACCAATTGACTTCAACAACAGCGAGTTCTACGGCTTCTCTGAGTTTTTTTATTGTACAGAGGACGTGTTGCGCATTGGTGGTCACTACCATGGGCCAACATTTGCCAAGGCTGCTCAGGTAACTCATTAATAATAAAGATGACTTATGTTGGTAAGCAGCCATTTATTGGATGCTTACCTTTGTGCAGACAATGTACAAACAGTTTTGCATGCATGATCTCATTTGATTCTTTACAGGGGACTTATAAACCCTCATTTTATAGAGGTGAAAGTGAACTGAATCCTGTCTTCTAAACTGCCTCTTTGTTTTTTTATTTTTTTTTGAAACAGTGTCTTACTATGCATCCCTATGTAGGGCAGGCTGGCCTTGAGCTTGCAAAGATCCACCTGCCTCTGATAGAATTAAAGGCCTATCATGCAACGCCCCCTAAACTGCTTTCTAATTAATATGTTTAGGTTTCCATGGGTGTTCTATCACCTAGGTATAAAATTATTGTACTGGTGAATAGTTTTTTCCTCCAACTTCCTAGTAATCTTGTTTGATGTTTATGGCCAAAATGTCATTTACTTTTCCCTTTGCTGTGTATCTTACTTGTAAGATACTCTTAGTGGGAAGGTCCAGTTTTCTTCTCTTGGTTTGAGTATTAAGAGGCCAGAGTAGGGGCCAGAGAGATGGCTTAAGAGCAGTTAAGAGCTTAATGCTTTTCCAGAGATGGAAAGAATCTGTCTTCTTTCATTTTTCAGTCTTTCTTTTATAATTCTGTAGGAAAAACTTGCAACAGAATAATCTCTGCTATCCCGTCCCCGAAAGGCAGTCCAAGAAATGTTGTTGAACTCTTGCTTTGTACTGCTTTTTCTTCTCCGGCTCCAGAAATTTCATACTCCCTAACCTTCCCAGAGTCCAGGACTCCCTGACTGCTCATGACTTGAGTCTTTTTCTTATACTAAGATTCTTCAGATTCTGTTCTTTTGAATACCAAAGTGCTCAAGTTACTATTGACTTACTAATTTGCCTTTCTGAAGTAAAAGAGATAAATTTTGTTCCTTTAATTAAAAAAAAAAAAACCCAATTGGAACTTTGTCTTCCTACCTCAAGATACCGTAGCCAAAATTACCTGTTTCCTTTCCTGCTCTATTTTTCCACTGAGCACTTATGTCATCTTGCATAGTGTGTGTGTGTGTGTGTGTGTGTGTGTGTGTGTGTGTGTGTGCATGTGTGTGTGTGTGTGTGTGCATGTGTGTGTGTGTGTGTGTGCATGTGTGTGTGTGTGTGTGTGCATGTGTGTGTGTGTGTGTGTGTGTGTGTGTGTGTGTGTGTGTGTATTTACTGTCTCCTTCCAGTAGAATTTAAGCTTTATGAGGACAGGCTTCATCTCTTTTCTCATTGCTTCATCCTCTAGCACTTAGGAGACTACCTGGCACCCAACAGACATTCAGAAAATGTTAGTCTCTCCTGAACCAACCAAAACCAATCCTTTGAGAAGACCAACCCCAAGGCAGGCTGATGACAGGCTGTTCTCCTTGCCCATATAAGTTCTATATAGAGTAGAGTGGAACTAGCGCCCTGGCTGTCAATGGCGCCATTTCTACTCCTAACCTTAGGCTGTCCTTGTATTATGGATGGGATGGAGTAGAGAAGCACGGCACCGTGTTCGGTGAGTGAACATACCACTCGTTTTCCTTGGTTAGAGAATAGCCCACGAGTAATGAAGTGGAGCATTGTGCCTGTGGGAAGTTGGAGGATCTGCCTGCAATTTGTGTTGCACTGTTTCTCTGTGGTTGTTCCAGGATTACTGTGGCATGGCCTGGTCCGTCCTAACTCAGAGATTCAAGAATGGCCTCTTTTCTTCACATGCAGATGAACACCGTCTCAAGTAAGTAATTTTCTACGTTAGATAGGGTCCTAAAACACAGGTAGCAGGTTATATTGGAGTCTGACCAGCAGTACAGATCAGATTTTAGGCTGAAGAAGAATGTGATTATTTCTGATTTTGGGTTTGGGGCAGGGGATCAGGGACAAAATAGAGAGCTAGTTTTTGTGAAGGCAAGGGAAAGCAAAGAGAGTTCTCTCCAGTGATTTAGCATCAACAGTGATGGCCTTTTAAATGTTTCAGTATTTTATTATAGAAGATACCAAATTAGCTGAAAAGCAGAAAAAATATGTAACTATTACCCAGCTTCTACAGCTGTTTAGCTTGAAAATTTCAAAGGTGTAAACAAAAATAAAATAGCCTAATGCCTTCCTACACCCCTGGCATCTAGCTTCTCTTGGCCAGTCTTGTTTTTCATCATCTCCCCACTCGCTATGTCCCTCTTACCACAACTGGGTTATTTTGAAGCAAATTGCAGATGTCATTCAGTCACATTTGTAGTTATTTCAGGATGTTCTCCAAAGACAGGTACTCAGAAAAAGAAAAGCAAAACCACAGCCACAGAATCATTACCGAAGGTAGTCTTCTTCCCTTTCGAGGTGAGATAAAGTAGGCTCAAATTTGGCTCCACCTAGAGGCGAGAAGGTGAAGTAGGGAGAGGCAGGTAGGTCATTTGACATCTGGCAGGAATACATGGTTACTACAAAGAACACAGCCAATTACTTTTTCTTATTTTCTAAATGTAATGATTTTTTTCCCTCAAAACACAGATATCAGTGTTTTAAGTCAGCTTGGATGTATCAAGTCCTACATGAAGGATTCCACTTTCCCTATGACTACCCAAACCTGCAGACAGCCCAGCTGGTATATGATCGAGAGGTACAGTGGACGCTGGGAGCGATTCTGTATAAAACCCGATTCTTGCCACTCAGGTAAAGTGAGACTACTCAGGCTGTTACCTTTATCTCAGAGGATGTTAGGTTCATGCCTCAGGATAGATTTCTCAAGTGAGCCCTTCTACACTGCCATCCTCCAGACTCCTGTTATTACTACTTCCACGTGAGCCACTGTTCTAGTCAAGCATGCTGAACAGACGTTGAGGTCAGTTGTCTGGAATCTGTTCCTCATCTCTGCTATTCAGAGTCAGCTTTATTTGTTCTCCTACAATAGAGCAGACCTTAGGACTGGGCTCACACTAAATGCTTCTAAGATACTGTTGAAATAAAATGCCAATCTTAGCCTGGAAAACACATCAGCAATCTTTCCTAATGAGTAGAGTCACTCCAGAAATTGTGTCATTGACCCGGAACAGTTTCTGGTCATTTCTCATTAGAACAAAGGATATGACATGTTTTTAGACTTGTTTTCATCCAGCTAAGGTAGAACAGTGCCTTGCCTTTTTGTCCTATATTTGGAACAGTTTTGAGGTTCTCTTTTCCTAGTTTTTAGGTTCAGATTAAGATGTGCTTTTATTCTTTGGTGCCCGTTCCTCTAAATTCAGTGTCAATAGGAACCAAACAGAAGTGAGGAAAGTGGGCTGTGTTGGGCTGTGGGGAACCAGAGAATGTACATCAACTAAACTGCTGATTACTGTCAGGCCAAAATAATGTCCCAGCATTTGCCAGTTCTTATTTGTCCAGAGAAACCAGAAATTCATACTTTCTATGTTTTTGGTTTCTTTGATGCAGGGTCTCCTTGTAGCCCCAGTTGACCTGGAATTTGCTATGTAGACCAGGTTGGCTTTGAACTCACAAGATCCTCCTGCCTCTGCCTCCTGAGTGCTGGGATTAAAGGTGTCCGCCACCATGCCCCCAGAGAAGATTTATGTTATTAATAAACACTGCAGGTCAAAGAAAGAAAAATGGATCTAGTACCTGGATGACTGAAGTCAGGCCACTAGACCAGTGCTTTTTGGTTTATGTAACTCTCTTAACATTTTCCAGGTTATAATACAGTTGATCAGACCACAGCTATATACAGGCTAGATCCTAAGTAACATATTTCAAACTGTATTTTAAGATTTATGTTAACAAATGACCAGTTTTGTCTTTCTGTTCACTTTTTAAAAAAAGTTTAGTTTTGAAGGCCTTTTGATTTTCTTTCCACATTCTGTGTGGTCTGAACTGCAAGGTTCCTTCTGTAGGTCTGGGAAAGGAAGGCACAGGAAGAATCACATCAGCTTTGCTTGCTCAGTGCAGTTGGTTTCTTAGAATGTTTGCTGGATGAGTAAGCGGGATAAACACCACTGGACCCTCTAATCACAGCAACTGCTTCACTCTAAAACTAACAGTTCCTTCCACTTTCCCCAGGGATCTTCGGCAGGAAGGTGTCCGACAAGCCCATGGCAGCTGGTTCCGTCTCTCCTTTGTCTACAACCACTGTCTCTTCTTTGCCTGTATCTTGGTGGTGCTACTGGCCATCATCTTGTACCTTTTGCGAATCCGCAGAATTCACCACCGACAAACCCGAGCCTCAGTTCCACTGGACCTGCTGTGGATCGAACAGGTGGTGCCGATGATTGGGGTACAAGTGGGGCCATGAGGCTGGACCAGAATTGGAGAAACTCCAGTACTCTAGAGTTGCTGCTTACCGACTTCCTCCACTTTCTTGTACTAGCCTCAGATACTGCTTTGGCCTAGGAATTTCTACCTTAATTTCCACTTAATTCCTTTTTAGTACCCAGGACCTGTCTCAGAGAAGCTGTATTTAGTCTTTGAGGAACTAAATGGTGAGTGGCTGGTGCTAACATAGGGGACCAAGCTTAGCTCAACTAAAGCAAGCTTCTCCTTTAGCTCTGAAGTCTGGTGTGTTCCTGGGGTCCAGCTTATAGCCCTTGCTGAAGCAAATTTGAGATCAGGTGACTGGAAGCCTGGTTGAAACCAACCTGGAGCATCTGATACAAAGCCAGAGACATTCCAGCCCTTTCTTTCTCTGTAACAGAGATCTCATTTATGTGGAGATCCACAACCTTTAATAGGGATCCAAGATCTCTGAGGTTTAGTGGACCAGAATTTCAAGACAACCAAAACAATACAACTTCTTTGCTTACTTGACAAGCCATCATGTGTGATCCAAGATCCCTGACATTGTTGATGTTGTTATATAAATCTAGAGCCCCTTCTAAATGGATGGTCCATTGAAGATTTGACAATATTTTATCTGATACCTGGTCTGACCAATATAGAAATTTTTTCCATGTCTGTGTGCCTCATAGGCTGCTTGGACATTAATGTTGCTTCCTGAACCTTAAGTGCTTATAGAATGGGAAACTGATGGGGATTGGAGACCTGGGTTTGTCTGTTTGCAGGTCATTGTCCCATAGGCATATTTTTATATATCAGAAGACAAGGAGTTCCCTCATTTCACTGCTAAGATCTTAGGTATTTCGGGAAGGGATATATTTAGGTTGTTTTTTTTTTTAAAAAAAGTGGAAGAATAGTATCAGGATTGTAGACAAAGGCAATAAAATAAGTTATGCAATGTTTGAAAGACATCAAATTCTAAACTTTGGAACAGCTAGAGATAAATCAGCCACGAAGCCACCTGGCAACTTTTAGAACATCTGTTTAGAGACCCAGTCACAAACAGCACTTTCATTAATGAAGAGAGGAAAAGCCATATTCATATATTTTTCAGCCTCTGCCTTTCAGAAATTTCACTTATATTCTACAGTCAGCCTTTCAGTTGCATGAAGATTCCTTGTTCAACTCCTCTGTCCCATAGTCTTCTGTTTATTTTCGGTATCTGGCCACAAGTGGCCTGCTGCGATTATGTCCCCAGGGTTGAAGTAGCTTTCTTTATTCTTTTTGGGAGTAGATAGGTCTCATGAGCCCAAGCTGGCCTCCAACTTATGTAGCCAAGACTGGCCTTATACCCCTGATCCTTCTGCCTCCATCTCTGAGTTGATTTAAAGGTGTGCACCAGCATGCCTGGCTCACTTTATTTTCACCAAAGCCTTTGATTCTAGGATTAGAATAGAGGGAAAAAAGTCTCTCTGACTTTTAAGGAATAAAAATGAATTTTTCATAAATTCCATACTGGGAACAGAAATTATGTGTAAAATAATTAAGATGGTCCTAGAAATAAATTTGAGACAAAGATAAGTATATTGACTCTGAGTTGGGTGAAGGGATGCCAAGTCCTGAATTTTCTTTTTTTTTTTTTTTTGAGGCAGTCTCACTATGTAGCCCAGGCTGGCCTGGTATTCAGTGATCTGCTTTAGCCTTCCAAGTGCTGGGATTACTGTGCATATTATATGTTTCATTTGGAAAGATCTCCAATTTTTCATTAAGACTATGCCATTGCATTTTCTTTTAAACTCTTGGTTTAAGACTTCTCAGTTGTCTTGATTTTAATTCTTTGTATGTCTTGTAGTAAGCCTTTGCTTTATGAGTGCTGCCTAAAAATGACAAAAACTATGTTTTTGCTAGCCATTTGCTGACTCAGGTAACTTTTTATTTTACCTTGGTTTCCAGATACTACTTTGAATGTTCTTTGGAGATCTAGTCAAGTTACTGATTGTTTAGCAGTGATCACGCTCATATGCCCAAACTGAAGCTGAAGTTGGAGGCAGAGACTAGTACAACCTTAAAGCACTTATTAGTGAAATTATTCTTCATCCCGATTTTAAGAATAGCTGCATATTGTCAGGCCTTTACATATCAGATACTCTTGTTAGGAATTGTATTATATGTATATTTAATTATGACCGCAGCCTTTCAGAATGATATTCCTACATTCTTTTTATAGTTGAAAAATCTCAGGATATCTACCTTTATAATTTTTCAAAATAAATTTATTTTAATTAGTATTTGAGTTTTATGTATCTTGTTTATTATTTTAATATTATGGGATCGAGACTATATTACTGTAAGAATTCCCAAAGTTCCAAAGTTTAAAAATAAGAAGGAAAAATTGTGTTACATCTTTCAGAAGAATGAGTATATTGCTCATGATATTGGTTCCTGAACTCTCCCATTGCTTCCAATTAGTAGACTTTAAATGAAGTCTCATTACCCAGGTTCTCACTGCATCTATTTCCCTTTCTTCTAATACTTTGGATTTCACTTTTAAGCAGTTTAATTGCCAGGTTTCTTAACCACAGCATCCAAACAGCGGTGATGATTACAGTCTCAGTGAAGGTAAAAGGCTTAGTTGAGCTATCTACCTCACTATAAACTTAAGTACTTTTATGCAGTTTCCAGTCTGGTATTGGGTGTGACTTCATTTGAGAGTAGGAATTAAGGTGTCTGTAGCAATGGCTGTTTCAGATATTCCAAATCAGTCTCTTAGTCTCTCTATGCTAGTCTCAGACTCTTGCCATAAAGACAATATTGCCAAACTTGTGAAGATTTTGTTGGTGTTATAAAAATGATTGTTTAAAAATGGCTCCTTTGACTAACTTTTTTGTAAATAATGAATGCATCTGTGATCACATACTTCTAGGTAATGTTCTGTATTCCGTATAGCTATGTTCTTGGCCTTCCTTCTCCTAACTCAGATCAGATCTAAAATGAAGTGCTGTAGTACCTTGTTTGGGTTCCTGTTGACCGTGTGGTTTATGCTTCTGTAGGTGGCTTGTTAAATTTCCATTTTAAGCCTGCTTTGCCTACTTCATCTTGTTTTATATCCCACTAAGCAGTCTTTGTAGTATTTGACATTTCCCTTTTGCCTTAGTATCTCATCATTTTCCTTTGTTAAACAATTTTTAGAGGAACAGAGGAAGAGTCACTTGACAATTTTGTTTTCTGGAAATTTAAGCAATAGAGAGCCTTTTAAATTGTAAAATGGAATTACTGCTCATACTATAAGGGCTTTCATTTTTCAAATATAATCAAATCATTACTTCCATTTTTCTAAAAACCAAAGTTAAAAAATGTTCTAAGCCGGGTGTGGTGGCGCACGCCTTTAATCTCAGCACTCTGGAGGCAGAGGCAGGCGGATCTCTATCAGTTCAAGGCCAGCCTGTTCTACATAGTTCCAGGACAGCTGGGGCTACAGGGAGACCCTGTCTCAAAAAAGACTGAAAAAAAAAAAAAAAAGTTCTAAATTATAGGATATTTATAGTCATGCATGTATGTCAGACATGCATGAAGATACATCTTCTCCCGAGCCTCCCCATAAGGTAGGGCAGCTGCTGACAGACCCTCCAGAAGCTTGCTATTCATTTTCCCCTGCTGTGTTAGCTTTCCATTTACTGTAACAAAATACCTGAGATAATTTATGAGAAAGTTTATTTTGACTCACTGCTTTAAAGGTTCCAGTCAGTGGTCAGGTGGCCTCTTGGCTTTGAGCTTGTGGGAGGTAGCAGGTACATTATGGCAGCAGGGCCCAGCAAATCAAAACTACTCAGCCCATGGCCAGGAGCCAAGAAAGGATGGGACTCAAATGCCCGTCAATGACTTAATGACCTTCTGTGAATCTACAGCCACTAGGGTCTCACCCACCTCCCAATAATGTCACCCTGGGGACCAAGCCTTTGTAACACAGGCCCTTTAGGAGTATTCCAGATCAATCCTGTAATGCCATTTGAAGACAATCCTGTGAATTCCCTTAGCACGCTAATCACCATAGTGACTTGCCATAGTGGATGCATATCTCAGTATAGGTTAAAGAGAAAAATGTGAGCCAGCAAAGAAGCTCAGCATTTTAAAGCACTTGCCACACAAGCCTGGCAACCTGAGTTCACGCCCCAGAACCCATCTAAATAGAGAAAATACTCTCTTTGCAGTTGTCCTCTGACTCCATGTGAGTATACAGTGCATACTCCCCGTCATACACAGGCACACACAATAGTACATTTTAAGATGTTTTTAAACATTAGATGGTGTTGTGAGGATTATGTCCTAATTTCCATGAGCTGTTGAAAGAGAAAAGAGAAAATTCTGGGTTAAGTAATTAAAAATACGTTTTAATTTCCTTTATAGTTAAAAAAATTAACAGAACTGTTGACTGTTGAAAGTATTAAAGGAAATTCATTCAGTCCTCTAAGTGTGCAGTGGCTTTTCCTGGGACATAAATCAGTAATTGTCTATTTGCCTTGATTCATGCTTTCCTGATTCAGTGTTTGGCAGGTTTGGTGACACTGTGAATTACACACATACAAGAATAATTAAGATGATCTCTGTTCACCAGGAGCTCATAGACAGCATAATGCAGTGATATAGCTAAATGCCAGATCTGTTCTCCAAGCTTGTTCAACTGTAATTAAAAAATAAAGTAAAACATCTGAATCTTGAACTGATTTACGAGTTGCCACTTTCTTGGGGTGAACTATAAGATTTTTAGTATGTGGTTCTTTGATTGGATCCTACTGCCCTCTTCTGACTGCTTTTGGCTAAAGATGACATGGATTTGGGGATCAGAAGATGACGGTGTGGGAGCCTCCGGTGACTACAGCTCTCTTCTTTAAAGATTCTATCTAGAGGACAGGATAGCCCGATATACATACAGGATCAGCAGATTAAATGAGCAGATTAAACCAGCAGATTAAGTGGGGGTAGAAATTTGGCAGGAATGGGAATATTAGAAGGTAACTAGACTAGGAGGACGCAGGCCAGTGGTCTCCAAACTTACACGCACTTTGGAGTCACATGGGGAACGCAAAACTAGCCTACTACTGTTCCTTGGGCTTTTGATTTAGTTGGTCTTGAATGAGGCTTAATTTTGAGATTTTAAAAAGATTCTAATGTGAGAAGCATGGGGAACCACTTCTTTGCAATAGCACAAGCCCACTAGTGTGTGGCATTTTTGGAAAATAAACACCACAGAATGGTCCATTTTAGGATAGCCTAAAACTCAAGAATATTGGAGCTGATCATCTAGTTCAGAAATTGCAAACGAGCAATTTTGGGTCACATGTGTCTGTTGGACATGTTAAGCCTCTGTAAGTTTTTAAAACTTGATGTTTATTGTTAACATTTAATTAAGAATATTCACTTTGGGGCTAGAGAGCTGGCTCAGCAGTTAAGAGCACTTGCTGCTCTTTCAAAGGACCCAAGTTCAGTTCCCAGTACCCATATCAGGCAGCTCACAACCCCCTGTAATTCCAGTTCCAGGGGACCTAATGCCCTCTTCTGGTCTCTATGGGCACCTGCACACATATATACATTCACACAAATATACATACACATAAAAATCTTTTTAAAAAGATTTACTGCAAAATCTAGTTTCTTAGCTTTTATAGTCCAGAAGATCTGCCAACCCTAGACCTTGGCAACAGGCCAGCATGTTGGGTTAATGAGTAACTCCATTACAGCATCTGTTCTTGAGTCTGTGGCTGTCTCCACCAGTATAGCTGGTAGACAGGACTGTGGGGTACAAGGACCCAGAAATCCAAGGTCTCCCTTTTAAGAAAAGTCAGACTGCCTACTAAGCAGCAAATGACATTTCTTTCTGCTACAGATTTTAAAAGGACCCTTTGGTGTAACCACACCTAATGACATTCTTGATCCAGTGACTTGTCTCAAAAACAAGCAGAGTTTTAAATAATTTGACTAACTTGGCAACCACTTGCCATGTCAAGGTCATCCTCCTAGAAAAGGCCATGTTCCTATACTTGCTCACGAGTTCCCAAAGCAGTTTCAGTCTCAGGAAGTGATCCTGAGCATTATTTTGGGACTCTTCGGAGTTCATTCATGAGCCAAAGGGCACCACTGAGCAGAGCCAGGGAGCCTGACTGATGTGTGGCAGCCAGAGGAGTTGGAACATACATAAGCAGAGTGCTAATGCCCAAGGCCACCTGCAGAAGAAAGAAAAAGGAAGAGTAGTAATACTGAAAATGACTGCACACAGACAGCTAGATACACAAACTGCACATCTATCAGAACATTACAAATATTTCTATTTGATTTCCTACGTAAGCATACTTATAATGAATGAAATTCAAACAGTCTAGGCAAACCTAAAATCCCCATTTAATTATCCTCTACCTGTTCTTTTTTATGTTCTTTTTTCATTTTTGTTTTTATTTGTGTATGAGTGTTATGCCTGCATGTGTGTAAATGCACCCATGTTGGGCAGTGCCCACGCAGAGATCAGAAGAGGGTATCGGGTACCCTGGAACTGGAGTTGTGGACAGTTGTTAGCCACCATGTAGGTGCTGGGGTTTGAACCCAGGTCTTCTGCAAGAACCAGCAGTGCTCTTAACCACTGAGCCATCTCTCTAGCCCCTTATCAAATGTTCTTTGATACTAGGTCTTTAGCTTATGTTGGCCTGGAACTCAAAGTGATCCTCTTGCCTCAGTCTCCTGAGTGCTAGGGTTATAAGTGTGAGCTACTGTGCCTGGCTTGTAACCAGTTCCTGTTCCCCATGGCTAGTTGCTGTTATTAGTTTCTATACAACTGTACTTTCATATATGTGATTACTGAGATACATGTACTTTTACATTGTTAAAAAATATATTTTTATGGTTGGGCACGCCTTTAATCCCAGCACTTGGGAGGCAGAAGCAGGTGGATCTCTGTGAGATGGAGGCCAACATAGTCAACATTAGGAATTCCAGGCCAGTGTGTGTGTATATATGCATTATGTGTCTTAAAATGCTGTACAGTATTTCACAGTACAGATGTATCATAGTTGTTTAGATTGTTTCCATTTTTTTAAAAACTGCAATTCTGAGTTTCCCCACACAATGCTCTTAGTGCATTAAAATATTTATAAGGCAGACACAATAATCAGTTTTCTGGGCCAAAGGATTATATACTTAACATTTTAAATGATATTGCCAAATTGCCCTCTGAAAAAATGCTATTATAGACTCATGCTCTTACAAGAATCCCAAAACATATCCATTTTCCTATACTGTGCTTATAATGGATTATCTATCCCCCCCACCCCAAAACCAATTCTTTCCAAAGTGACAAGTACAAAATGGTGCTCCTTCCTGATGCTAAGAAGCTGTTCATAGTTATCAGCCACTCATCATTCCTCTATGAGAACAGTGTACTGATATCCTTAGATTTTCATTATTAATATTTTGATCTACTGTTAATATTAAATGTGTTTGGGGGACATCATCAGACCAAGAAGGGCTTTATACCTGCATGTATGCCAAGGCCAATAGAGTCACTGCTGCCATCTTGGTCCTTCGAGGAAGGGGGATTCTCCGGGAGAGGAAATACAGCACTGTAATGGCAGTGACGGACGTGATTCCCTGTGAGAAGAAAGATTCTCATCACACATGTGAGGGCTTCAGCTATATTGACTTCCACTCCCCTTGCACATCTGACACGCCACTGAGCACCTAGGAAGAATGGTACTGTCTCAGAGAACACAGTTCCACTCCAGGTGCTGCACCTCAGCTTTGTCCACAGTCCGCTTGTGTTTGAAGTGGCACCGTTACCCAGGGCTCTGCGTCAATTTATGTGTATTACTTAATAAACACTTTCAGTGACTTCCATTGCAGTGGGTGTCCCCCAAGTGAGAGCCTTATTTCTTAAATTATCCCTTGTATCCTTAACCCTAATTCTGTATCTACTCTAATCTCACACACACACACACACACACACACACACACACACACACACACACTTTTTTTTTTTTTTAAACTTTTTGAGACAGGGTCTCCCTATGCTCTGGCTGGCCTCCAACTCAGAGATCTGCCTGCATCTGCCTCTGCCTCCCGAGTGCTGGGAGGATTAAGGGCATGTGCCACCTTGTCCAGCTTTAATCTTCTATTTTTAAAGCAGGGCTGACCTTAGCACATAAGGGATATTTTTCTGGGTTGTAAGTGGTAGTGCTTCCCCATGGTAGTGTTTCCAGCTGGTGTTAAAAACAATTTAAAGCTTCATTTTCTTTTAAAATATTTTATTATTTTTTATTTTATGTGCATTCATGTATTGCCTGCATGTAGGTTAAGTGCACCCATGTTGTGCAATGCCTGTGGCAGTCAAGAGGCTGTCGGATTCCCTGGGACTGGAGTTACGGACAGTTGCTAGCTGCCATGTGGGTGCTGGGATTCAAACCCAGGTCTTCTGCAAGAACAACCAGTGTTCTTAACTGCTGAGCCATCTTTCCAGTCCCGAAAGCCTCATTTTCATTTATACCAGAATAAGGGTCCAGGATTGGCAATGAAGTTCCCTTTCTCCATCCATGATGTCATGGAGAATGGTTTCCTATCATAATTCTACCTTCGTTTCACTTCCTTTCCTTTCCAGAAGTGTCCACAATGACAAATTCAGCCATACTTTACTTATGCTAAAATACTGTGTAGGGGTGGGGACAGATACTGCCAATCTCAATCTGCTTGGATATGAGTCCTTTCAGTATCTTTGTCTCCATCATCTCATATTCAGCATGCCTCCATCTGATGAGATCTGCTGTCTCTAGCTCAATGTTCACTCAGGAGGTGCCATTTCTGGTCACGTTTTAAGCATGCGACAGAAGAAACTTTGGGGTCTCTCGATCCCTCTTTACATCTATTCCTAACAGCCAATCTTATCTCTCTGTTCCTTTAAAGCTTCTCTCAAATTCACTAGTCCCCAAGTTCATCTCCCACCATGCAGCCTTGTTCCCATCACTCTGCCAAGCCAGTCTTAATATGGCCTATATATAATCAATGCCTATTGGCTAAAATAACCCAAAAAGCATTAAGGAGCTCTTTGATAGCCTTGTGCTCAGCAGCCAGGGAATCTACTCTCTTTTCTAATCAACCTCACTTTTACTGAAATGATGATTTAGGCATATTCAGGATTGAAGGAGGTTGTGATTACTTGTCAGATTATAAAAGGCATATTTGAGGGGCTGGAGAGATGGCCCAGTGGTTAAGAACATTGGTTGGTTTTTTTTTTTTTATTTTTTGAGACAGGGTCTCCCTGTAGCCCCAGCTGTCCCGGAACTCACTATGTAGACCAGGCTGGCCTTGAACTCACAAAGATCTGCCTGCCTTTGCCTCCCAAGTGCTGGGATTAAAGAAGTGCACTGCCACGCCTGGTAGGAACACTGGTTGTTTTCGCAGAAGACCCAGGTTCAAATCCCAGCATCCACATGGCAGCTAACAACTGCCCATAACTCTGGTTCCAGGGAATCTGACAGCCTCTTCTGTCCTCCACAGGCATTGTATGACATGGATGCACTTACCTGCACACAGGCAATACAGGCATATACATAAAAAAATAAATAAATTTTCTTTTAAAAAGGCATATTTGAATTTTCAGCTAGAATTTGAGTATGAGTAATGCTAACAGAAACATGAGATCAGAGAACTGGTCCTAGAATTCCTTCCAAAAGAACAAGAACAGTTGCTGTCCTGCTTCTGACTGCTACCAAGAGTGCCTCACTGACACCCCCAACACTTCTGTGTGGCTCCCTGTGCCCAGCAGCAGAAGCCACACTTACCAGAACCCGATGATCAAACTGCACCATGGTGGGATTCTCAAAAACATTCTTCAGGATAGGGGAGAAGGTGAGGAGGTCATCTGGGATCCAGGATTCTCCCATTTTGGGGAAGGAGTTGTAAACAAGCCCCGCATCCAGTCCTGCTACAAAAGCTCCTGCATGCCAAGGTAAGTAGGACTTACTAAAATGAAGAGACCAATATTATTTCTGAATACATAAAAGTCTATTAGTCCAGAGCTAGACAGAGATTTGCTGGAGGACATTAGAAAGATGGACAACAGGACTTCTCAAGGGTAGACTACATACATGTCAGATCCTCATCGGAACTGAACACATCCCTGCATCCTTTATCTTGCTCCCACCCAAGATTCCTGCCTATCTCACCTACAGACAAGAAGCTCTGCAGGGAAGCTAGGCTCAGTGGTGCACGCCTTTAATCCCAGCGCTTGGGAGGCAGAGGCAGGTGGATCTTTGTGAGTTTGAAGCCAGCCTGGTCTACATAGTGAGTGCCACATTAGCTGGGGCTATAGGCCCTGTCTCAAAAAGACAAAAAAAAAAAAAAAAAAAAAAAAAAAAAGAAGCTCTGGAGGGAGAGGTGTATTAGATTGGAAAACACCCTTTCTTGATTCTGTGCCCTCTCTGTCCCTGCAATACTGCAGATCTGTTTTAGAACTGTAGGATTTACTCCCTCACTTCCTTAGTCTCTGCTCAAACATCACCTCCCCTAATGATCCTACATAAAATGGCTTTCTTCTACCTAACCCCTCTCTCCTCATCCTATTTTTCTTTACAGTGCCAAATACCACTAAACATATTTTTGTGTGCATTATCTGTCTTTCCCAAGGGCTCAATAAATATTTGTTGAATGAACAAAAAATAGAAAACATAACCAAACAAAAAATTTCCACAAATATATACAGTAAATCCCGGATAAGCAAATAAAGAACGTATGTGTGAATGAGCAGATGACTGATCCGTTACTATCAACAAAGATTCAAAGAAATTTGAATCATATTTTTGTAAACGTCACAAAGACGGAAGTTCACTTTGTTATACAGAAAAGAAGAGAACAAAAGTAAAAAGGGTAGGGGAGACTCCTGGCTTGAATTATGTTTTCATTTCTGAGCAGTGCTGTCCAAGAGAACTTCCTGTGACAATGAAAGTGTTCTGTATCTATTCCTGCAATTCAATCAATCACAAGCCACACTGCCTGTTGAGCACTCCAAATGTGGCGTGTGTAACGGAACAAAATTCTAAATGCTATTTAATCTTAATTTTATTTATCTTTATTTTATGTGTATGAGTGTTATGCCTATATGGATGCAAGTCCACCCATGTCATGAAATGCCTGTGGAGGTCAGAAGAGGGTGCTGAATCCCTTGGAACTAGAGTTATAGACAGTTGTTAGCCATCATGTGGATGCTGGAATTCGAACCTGGGTCTTCTGCAAGAACAGCCAGTGCTCTTAACGACTTAGCCAACTCTCCAGCCCTATTTAATCTTAAATTTAACCACATGGGGCTTCTGATTCATATATTAGCTATTACACTTCCAGAATTAGAGAGGTAAAGGTAAAGATACCATTTCAATAAAGAAACTACCTGCACTGATCCCTCAGCCCCAATGAACTCACCATCTCTGACCTATTTGACCAGGTTATTTGTCTGACCCATGCTGATGTAATGGAATAATAATAATAATAATAATAATAATAATAATAATGCTTATATAATACTGACAAGCAACACTTCTCTTTGCTACATGCCAGGTACACTTCTAAATACCTCACATGCAGTCATCATCTCCATTTTATACATAGCTGACAGTTCACAGGTGAAGCCAAGACTGGACCCTGGGCAGTATGGATCTAGATAAATGTTCAATATTTTTGTTCAATTGAGTGGAAAGTAGGCACAGAAAACACAGGGTTGAAGATGGTGGGTGTCACAAGTGTGACAGGGAAAGATGAAGAGACAACAAGAAAGGCAAAGCATCAGGCAAGAGATCTCATGAGGAGTATATGGGCAATGGACACAGACCATCTGTGACAAGACGAGCCCTACCTGAGAGTGCCGTCAGGAACACCAGACCTGCTGTTCCACCAGCTAAGCGTCGCAACCACAGGAGTTGGCGGGTTTCAGGTAACTAAAAAGGAGTATCGCTCAGATAAGCTGTTTTGCAGGAATTATGATGGGCAGCAAGGTCTCCAAATCTAAACCCAAACAAGGTCAGATCTTCTCTGACCTCTAAAGGAGCTGAGTTCTCCCAGCAGATGCTGTTTTAACTCACATCACAGTTCACTGTCATTGTGCATTTATTATGTGTCTTCCCTGATAATCCTGCAAGTTTATGAAGGTGGGAGCAGGCATCTCACTTGCTGCCAGTCACCCTAACTTAGTGTTTGGCATGAAGGTATTCAAATTCAGTTATCTGTCAAAAACTGGATGACTAAGCAGGAGAAAATGCTTCAGCACAGTTGAAATGATGTGGCTGAGACAATGGACTGGATTTTCATGCCACATGATACTTACTGCTTATACTTAGAATCAAATCTGTATAAAGTGCCCAGAAGGAAGATTCTCACATTTAGTGGTTTTAGTAAAGCCAAAAAAATTTTTTAGGGCCAGTGAGATGGCTCAGCAGGTAAAGGCACTTGTCATCCAGCCTGAAAACCTAAGTGTGATCCCTAGAATCTACAAGGTAGAAGGAAAGAACTCTTGAAGTTGTCCTCTGACCTCCACACATGCATGCACGTACACATACTATATATACATACCCCACACTAAATAAATGTAAATAAACTTTTCTTTTTTTTAGTATTTCATTTATTTTTATGTGTGCGAGTGTATTGCCTGCATGTATGTGAGTACACCGTGTCATGCAAAGCCACGGAGGTCAGAAGAGGGCTTTGGATTCCCCTAGAACTGGAGTTAAGGGCCATGTGGATGCTAAGAATCGAACTCAGGTCCTCTGCAAGAGCAGTCAGTGCCCTTAACTGCTGAGCCATCTCTCCAGCCCTGTTTTCATTTCTACTGTAGTCAGTCTGTGATATTAATCAGTGAATAAACAATATTTATTATGCCAGGGCTGGACAGATGCTCAGTCAGTGAAGTCATTAACATGTAAGCCCATAACCCCCAGCACCATCATGAAAAGCTGGGCATTGTGGCACAAAGCTGCAGTCCCAGTGCTGGGTGGTAGGTGGGCAGAAACAGGCATATCCAGGTTTAGCAAGAGACCCTGCCTCAGAAATAAGGTGGAAAGGAATAGAGGAAAACACCTGACATCAACACCGTCTACATACTAATGCATAAACGTGAACTTGCATGTACATGTGCACACACACAAACATGTATATACATACACACACACCACACACACACACACACACACACACACACACAAAGAACATTATGATGGATCTGGCATCTTAATGATTGCCCTTGGAAGGCTGAGGCAGGAGGATTTTGAATTTGGAGCCAGTTGTAAGTCAGCCAGGGCTACACAACCAGATCCTGTCTCAATCGCCCCTACCCCCTCAAAAAACACAAACAAAAAGAACCTATGTGGTACATACCGGGAATTCCAGCCTCAGGAGGTAGAGGCAGGAAGATTAGAAGTTCAAGGTCAATCTCAGCTACATAGAAAAAATAAATGAATAAAAATTTTAAAAACCCAAACAAAAACAACCCCCAAAGCCTCTTAAGAATTCATAACCATAAAACACAAAGGAGTTAAGTTGAAGTGCTGCCCTTAAATGACTTACAATCTAGACTACACAGAGTCAGGTATCAGTAGTAAGATATGGAACAGCATTCTATCAGTGCTGTCTGGCAGATTTTTCCATGATGATGGATCATGGTCTATCATCTATGGCTAAAAACAACTTGAAACATGGCTAGTATGGCTGGACCTTAATTTTATTTAAATGCAAAGTTTAGTTGAATAAAAATTCATTCAAATGAAATAAGATGAGTGTATTGCCTGCATGTATGTGAGTGTACCTGTGTTGTGCAATGCCACAGAGGTCAGAAGAGAGCTTCGGATTCCCCTGGAACTGGAGTTAAAGACAGTTCATAGCTGCCATGTGGGCGCTGGGAATTGAACCCGGGTCCTCTGTAAGAGCAGTCAGTGCTCTTAACCACTGAGCCATCTCTTCAGTCATTGAATTAACTAAATTTAAATAACCACCTATAGCTAGTAGTTACCAGTATGGAAGAGATGACACTGTATCACTAGCTGGCTGTCATCTCAAATCCTTCTGATAACGGTCAAGGTAATAGCCCGAGTCCTTAATGGGACACAGCTCCAAATACCTGTTAGATGATCCTATTGAAGGATCCTGTGTACATCAAAATCCTCTCCATGTGGGGCTGGAGAGATGGCTTAGCAGTTAAGAACACTGGTTGTTCTTGCATAAGAACCCTGGTTCGAATCCCAGCACCTACATGGCAGCTAACAACTGTCCGTAACTCCAGTTCCAGGGTATCCAACAGCCTCTTCTGACCTCCATAAGCATTGCACAACATGGGTGCACTTACCCACATGCAGGCAATACATGCATACCATAAAATAATAAATAAAAATTTTTTAAAAGTTTAAATATTAGAGGGGCTGGAGAGATGGCTCAGCGGTTAAGAACACTGGTTGTTCTTGCAGAAGACCCGGGTTCGAATCGCAGCACCCACATGGCAGCTAACAACTGTCCGTAACTCCAGTTCCAGGGGATCCTATAGCCTCTTCTGTCCTCCGCAGGCATTGCACGACATGGGTGCACTCACATACATGCAGGCAATACCCTCATACACATAAAATAAAAATAATAAAGAAAAAAAAAAGTTTAAATATTAGAAAAATGTGTCCTAAAGTGTAGTGTCTTACGACTTCTATTAAAAATGAAGGTGTCAAAAAAAGAAAGCTGGATCTTGCTTTTAGGTCAAAGCATAAAAATGTAAAAATTGCTATTTCCCTAAGGGAAAATAAGCATAGAGAAAAGCACTCTTTTAGACAGAATCATGGTTTAATACAGCATTATACTTGAATGCTATATCCCCAGTTAACTCAACATAGCAGGGCTCTCACACTAGCAAAAGTTCCACTACAGCTCTGCTCTGGTGTTCCTGGCCTCGCCATTCACTGTCACCTGGGAGTCACAGTGGTTGGGTTATGTCTTACTGTTGGCACTCCTCACTTTACCCCTAACACCTGTGTTTTCTCTTCTGCATTAGATAATGTTGACAGGATATTCAGCTTCTAAATATTGAATAATCCCACTCCTGAGTATGTATCCAAAGAACTGAAACTAAGACCTCAAAGAGTTCTCTGCACAACCATGCTCAATGATGCAGTATTCACAACAGCCAAAAGTGGAAGCAAAAGATGTTACTTGAAGAGAATCTGAATTCTGACTTAACTTCATGTTAGAGCCAGAATCTCCATTTCCCTGCCGCATCAGCATCTGTGCAGATGTGGTAGCCCTCGAGACTGACATTTACCTTGTGCTGAGGGAGGAGCAGTGAGAGTGAGGTCCACAGGCTGGCACAATACAGAACCAGGGCAGATCCCAGGTGGGCTGCAAGGCGGTACTGACTGACCCGAGGGATGTCATAGGACTCTGGCTTTTCTTCTAATCCACTTTTCACCATATACCAACCCAACAGACCCTAGAATCCAAATAAAAAGAGGCAAATCAAACAAGGTGAAAATGTTTGGTCTTACTGAGAAAGTACACTGTCAGAAGTATACCCTACCTGACCCATTCTCCCTACACTCCCCTTATACCCAGTGTTGAAGAATCATGACCTGATCACAATTCCATAGTAGCACCATCAGTGATTGATCACTATTTACACTTGTGTTTTGTTGAAGTCTAGTTCAGATACAGAAAAGTGCAAAGTTCATCTGTACCTATGGTGTCTTGAAAAAGTGTCCCCTATAGGCTCCAAGTATTTAAACACTTGGTCCTTAGTTCATGGTGCTGTCTGAGGAGGGTCATGGGACCTTTAGAAGGTGTGGCCATACTGGAGGAAGCATGTGGCTGGGGGCAGCTTTGAGAGTTCAGTCACATCCCACTTCCAGTTTCACTGCTTCCTGTGCCTGCTTGAAGATGTTGAGCTCTCAGCTTTCTGCTCCAGCTGCCTCCTGCCATGCCGCCCCACCATGATGAACTCTTATCTGTAAGGAACCTAAACTCTTCTATTAATTGCCTTGGTCACAGTGTTTATCGCAGCAACAGTACCAAAAACCTTACAAATATCTGATAATTTAACATACAAACCAGTGAAACAGAAAAAAGAATTTATTCTATGAAAACTAGATTGCATTCTTAGAAAAGGATTAATAAAGGCTGTTTAAAAACAATTACTGTGGGCTGGTTGTGGTGACACACGCCTTTAGTCCCAGCACTTGGGAGGTGGAGGCAGGTTGATTTCTGTGCTGATGAGGCCAGCTTGGTCTACACAGTGAGTTTCAGGTCTGCTGGGGCTACTATAGGGAGTAGTAGTTAAGATAGGTGGGGATAAGATAAACAAAAAATTTTGGGGGGATATCATTCAACTGTGTAAGATTTTGCATGCAGCCTGCACAAATACATTTTACTCCAAGAAAAATGAAATTGGAAATCATAATCTGTGGAGATACAAGAGATCTAAAGTTGAACTCCAAACTCAAAGTCAAAGAGAAGACCTTAGCTCTTGGAGGCAGGGAGGCAGGAATGTTGGTAAAGAAAGTACATGTTTAAGCCAAATGTGGTGGCACATGCTTGTAATCCCAGCACTTGGGAGGTAGAGGCAGCAGGATCAGAAGTTGAAGGTCATCGTTGGCTACATAACAAGTTCAAGGGCAGACTGAGCTACACGAGACCCTATCTCATAAAACCAAACCAAACCAATCACAATAAAATTCCACCCCTCCACCAAAAAATACATGTTTACATTTAGAAATTTACAGTATGTATCACACACTGATTCTCTGCTTTTAATTAGCTTTTCAAATAACAGAACATCAGCTCCAACTGTATCAGATAAGATATATCCATTTCACTCCCAGCCTCTCTATCTAGTAGAATCAGGTGAAAGGGCTGAGCTTCTCCTACTTCTAAATGTATGTTGTTCCAGTAATCCTTTGGAGCATTTCCTTCCCCTTTCAAGATTTGTTTGGCTCTTCTAATTACCTTTCATCTGCAGGAGGCATTGGAAAATGATGAAGATACAGAGTGAATTCTCTAGCCTAACTTGCTTCCTTCCATAACCTTATCTGACATCCTAAACTTCTACCTCTATTTTTTAGTGTTTAATTATAAAATATTACCATATATTTTTAAAATATTTTATTTATTATTTTAATTTTATGTGTATGTAGATAAGTGCACCCATGTTGTACAATGCCTGCAGAGGTCAGAAGAGGCTGGCAAATCTCCTGGGACTGGAGTTACAGACAGTTATCTCCCATATGGGTGCTGGGGTTTGAACCTGGGTCTTCTGCAAGAACAACCAGTGTTCTTAACCACTGAGCCATCTCTCCAGCCCCAAAATATTACCATATTTTGTTCTATCTAACTTTCCTTCATTACTACTGAACCTTTATTAGAGTCTAATTCTTTACTGTTTCTAGTGCTTTATCAATCTTTTATTTTTTGCCATTATCAGAACTTGACAATCAGCACAGAGTATCAATTGCTTCTTAATTAGCTCATCTTCTAACTACTTCTGAGTTAATTAACCACCTAATTTCCTCCTGATCAATTCTTTTTTTTTTTTTTGCCACTGTGACAATCAGGATCTTTACATTTTGACCCAAGTACTTTCAGGTGTCTGTCTTCTAATTCCTTTTCTTGGCTCTTAGCTTCACCTTTAAATCTGGGAATCCTTCAAAGCTTAAGACAAGTTCAGCTTTCATGATTTTAAATATCACTTACACTTGTATTTCAGCTACACCTGTATCCCAAGATCCATCATCCCACGGACTGTTTCCGACTTGCCTCTGTAGCTAGTCTAGAACAGGGACCACTCTTCCCTAGACTATAGGCAGACAAGTTAGGAAAAGGGAAGAGAACCATCCTTGGGACATAAATTCTACTTCTACTGGCACAGGAAACATACTTATTGAGTGCTTACTGATTCTAGGCACTCAACTAAGTGCTTTATATGTATTATTTCATTTGATGTCCCTCCAATCCTAAATGATAAGCACTATTACTATCTCTACTTATAGGTAAGGAAATCATACTGACAAAAGTCAGATAGCTTGCCTTAAGTGGCAGAGTTAGGATTTGAAGCCAAGCCTATGATACAAAAATGCTTACTTTTATACTTATAGTGCTTCAAAGATCATTTCCTTAAAGTAATGCCAACTTCAAAGGAAGTTCCTTGGAACATCTCTGGTATCCCAACCTTAAATAAATCTTACCTGGAAACAGACTAAGCCACAGAGGGAAAGAACTCGTCCTTTCATGCCACGACTGAGCCAACCCTTTCTCCAAAAGTAGGCAGCAGGCAGGATGTATGCAAGGCCAACAATGCGACCCCACATTCGGTGTGAGTACTCCATGTACCAGATGAACTTGAATTCTGCCAGTGTCATATCATGATTCAGGCTGGGTGAAATGGGAAGTCAAAAATTAAGAGGAAATCTCCATTTGGTTTACTTATTTGTTTACTTACTTATTTTAGTGCACACATATGCATGTGTGGACTTGTACATGCCACAGAGTATGTGTGGAAGTCATAGACGACTTTCTGGGAGTCAGTTCTCTGGTTCTCTCTTTCCACCTTGTCTTTGAGGCAGGGCTTCTCTTGAATGTGCCACTGCAGGCTAGGCTGGGCCTCGAGCTTCTAGCCAATTCTCCTGTGTCTGCCTCCCTTCTCACAGTGGGAGTGCTAGGATTACAAATGTGTACCACTGAATTTCAGCTTTTTATTTAGGTGCTAGGGATTGAACTCAGGTCATCGGACTCATGGGGCAAGCACTTCTACCTACTAAGCCATCTCCCCAGCTCCTCTATTCAATTTTTACTTCCCTATGGAATACAGAAACATTTCCAGTCTGTAGCTTGGTAGATCTTCCAACTCTTCCTCATTAGTAGTTTTAGCATGACTCTGGACTTACAGATTTAGAATAGGCAGCTCACCATACTTAAGTAAACCACAGATGAAGAAATAAAGAAATTTAACTATTTTAAGATATTTAAAGAAGCAAAAGAGTGAATAAGATTTTCACTTGAGGGGCTTTGGAGATGGCTCAGTGTATAAGGATGTTTACTGCACAAACGTGAGGTCTTGAGCTCAAATCCCCGGTGCCCATGTAAAAAGCTGGGCATAGCCATTCATGTCTGTAACTCCAGTGCTGTGGGGGACGGAGGCAGGAGGATCTTCAGGACAGCTGCTAGCCCAGCTCCAGGTTCAGTGAGAAACCGTCTCAAGGAGTAAGATGGAGAGTGATACAGCAGGACACCATGTCCCACTCGTCTCCATACATGGGCATATACATGAACAAACATGGATGCCTTCATGCACATGCACACACACACACACACACACACACACACACACAAAGATATTTACCTGATTTTTTTTCTAACACTTACATTTTAAATTCTGGAAATTGCTGGTACTTTTGAAATTCTGCTTCCCATTCCTCTTGGCTTGTGGGTGGTTTCATCTCCTTTACTAAATGCCAATCTACCATTGAGAGGCCAGACTCTGTCAACCTTAGGATAGGAAATAAATTTGTGAGTGTATGATTCTACATTATTCATAATTATTTGATAGCTAAAAGTAGGTCTAAGCTTAACTTACAAGTGCTAATTTCTTTCCTCCTCCTCCTCTACTACTATTTATTTATTTGTTTGTTTATTTTTGTTTCTGTTTGCAGTGCTGGATATGAGATCCAGGTTCTTGCACATACTAGGCAAGCGCGCCTTATCACTGACCCACATCCCCAGTCCTTATGTCTTTATACTCTTATTCTCTCAATTCTTTCATTAGACAACTCTCACTTATAGCTTGTTGATTTATTTTTTTTTGAGACAAGGTCTCCTAGATAGCCCAGGCTTGCCTTGAATTTATACCTCCTGAGTGCTGAGTTTATAGGTGTGTGCCACCCTGCCGGGCTCCCACTTCATTCTTTCACTAGCACTCCTTTTCAGGCAGGAACAACCCTTAGACTAATAATTGTGTGCTAAATGCATAACCAGCATTCCTGTTCTTTTGGTGCTGGGAACTGAATCTAGGGCCTTATATACACTGGACCAATGTGCTATGATACAAGCTATCATCAACATTCTTTACAGAAGGAAAAAGACTTATTATAGATGTATATGTTTGAGATATTTAATTTGTTGCAGTTTCCCATAACAACCAATATAAAATAACACATACAGTATTTTGAAATAAGAGGGTAATGAATATAGGGCTGGGCGTGGTGGCACACACCTTTAATCCCAGCACTTGGGAGGCAGACACAGGTGGATCTCTGTGAGTTCAAGGCCAGCCTGGTCTACATAGTGTGTTCCAGGCCAGCTGGGGCTACAGGGAGACCCTGTCTCAAAAAGACCAAAAAAAAAAAAAAAAAAAAAAGAGTATAATGAATATGAAGATAAACACATTTGATTAAAAATTAGGGAACAGGGGCTGGGCTGGAGTTGGTAAAGTATTTGCCTAAGTTTGGTCCCCAGAATCTACATAAAACAAAAGCAAAAGCAAAAACAAACCAAACAAAAACAGGTATGGTGGCACATACTTGTAATCCCAGCACTGAGGACGTGAAGACAATCAGCCAGCCTAACCTACTTGGTGCATTCAAGGCCAGCAAGAGGCCCTGTTTTAAAAAACAGAAAGGTGGCCAGGTGTGGTGGCACATGCCTTTAATCCCAGCACTCGGGAGGCAGAGGCAGGCGGATCTCTGTGAGTTCAAGGCCAGCCTGTTCTACATAGTGAGTTTCAGGACAGCTGGGGCTACAGGGAGGCCTTGTCTCAAAAAGACCAAAAAAAAAAAAAAATAGAAAGGTGGATGGCACATAGGAATGACACCTGAACTTGTCCTCTGACCTCTACATGAATGCATACACACACGTACCTATATACACAGACAAAAATACACATATGCACACACACACGCACACACACGAATTAGTATTTTCATCAAAAGGAATCAGCGTTCCTAAACTTAAGGCCAAAGCAAAAAATGCCAAATATAAACCTCAAACATCTTATCAAACGAGAAAGCAAAGAAGCTATCAAAGGATAGCTTTGTCAAAAAGATGCTGGAACCAACTTGAAGAGATTCCTGCCAATTAAGATGACATAATTTAAGTAAACCATCAACCCAATCACCATAGTAGACTAAGACATATCAAATGTTTTTAAACTATGAGTTCAAAATGAAACTTAAAAACTCAGACACTTTACTTGAAACCTTAGGAGGATCTTAGGAACAAATTTATTATTTTGAAACCGGAAACTAAAGAGAATGAATCAAGTATCCTGGCTTTCTTACAAAAAGTACACCCTGAGGTAATTAAATTGCTAATGAGGGAAAGTTTCTCTTTAATGTTGAGCTAACAAAATTACAGTTTTGCAATTCTAATGAATTAATGAATCTAGGCAATAGTAATCAATGATAATTGAACTCTCCAATAGACTCCAGATGCTCATGAGTGTTCCAATCACCTAGGAAGTATTTCATGCTCTTCTCCCAGTATAAATCTAATCAAGCAACTACTCATTTACAGGACATATGGGAAAAAGGCACATGCTAAACATCACCAGATAGACAGTCAGCAAAACCCAGACTGTGGGTAACTGAAGGACAAATGATTTGAGTTTCTTCAATAACAATAAAACTGTAAAGGGGAGTGGGTTCAGTTCCAAGCTCCCACATGGCAGCTAACAACTATCTGTAACTCCAGTTCCAGGGGATCCGACATCCTCTATCCTCCAAGGGCACTGCACAACATGGGTGCACTTGCATACACACAGGCAATATACTCATATACATAAAATTTTAAAAATTAAAACTGCAAAGGGGAGGGGGAGGAAAGCCTAATTCTACAAAGTCTATTTATAGATATAAAGATGACCTAACCTAAGAGATATATGAAGCAATTGTAATTTATGGAACTTATTTATGTTTAAACAAAAAAGTTGTGAAAAAAAAGGCTTGAGATAAATCTGAACACTGACTGGAGAGGTAAAATATACACAAACAGTACACAGCTACCAGACAGACTTAAATCTGTCTTTATGATAGGCTTCTACTAATAAATCACTAAACTGTCCTAAGACAGGGCAGTCCATCAATTTCTCCATCTGTAAAATGAGAGGGCTAAAATAAATGATCACTAAGGTCCCTTTCTCCTACTGAGTAACCTGGCTCACCAAGAGCAAATTACTCACCTAGTTACTCCACCAAGAATAACTGCTCCAGCTACTGTTCCACTGCACACCAGGAGCCATCGGCCCACTGTCCGCTCAGCTGCCTTTGAAGGAAGGGCCACTGTACCTATTCCAGACTGCAAAGCCACGTCAGTGATGGTGCTGTATTGCCCTGGCCTCAGAGGACGCCTGCCATAGTTGCAACTACACTAAAGATCAAGACAGAAATTACAACTCAAGAATCAGGGAAAGCTGCTACCTACACTCAGCCTCAGTTTGACTGGATAAGAACTGCAGATCTGGTTTACTGTTATTTCCTGTGAAGTTTCGAGTCCTACAAATCACTTCCATAGTACCTCCCCACTATAACCCTTAATACACTCAAGTATCTTCAGGTGACCTGTCTGTACGTCTCACTAATCCATAAGCTGTGGATGGTAGGCTATGGTTAATCTTGGTCTTTCCCTACTGATATCTTTGTTTTTAGCACAGGTCCCTTACACAGGCAAGACCTTAATAAAGACAAATGAACTAACAACTGAATGAACTGTGACTTCCTCTGGGACCAGAGCTGGGTTAGCATTTATCTGTCTTCCTAGTTCCTAACATAAAACAATCACTTAATAATTATTAGAATTCTTTGGGTTCTCTTCAGATCATATAAATCTTTAATGTTTTACTAAGAATTAGCAAAAGTGAATAAATACATGTTCTCTTTTGGCTATAAACCTGAGTTCAGTTTCCTACTTCTAATTAACTGAACATTTTAGTCAAGCTTAAGCCTTAATTCCCTTCTTTGTAGAATGGGGACATACATTATTTGAGGACGCTTTAGCAGAAACTGAATATGTAATTACTGAATTTAGCATATGCCAAAAATCCGAGGTACATATAATTATTTAGTCCTCACAACCATCTTGTGACAGGTACTGTTATCCCATCCTACAGATAAGGAAAAACAGAAAAGTTAAATAAATTGGCTAGTATGACAAGCAGGGGGCGGTATTTCCTGATCTGCATTCAGGGAGGGGTCTGGATACAAGGAGATGCAGGCCTTTCACCCTAGCCCCGCTTCCGTGGTCGGAGCCCGCTGCAGTGGGTACCTGTGCTCTGGGCGGAGCCCTAGGGACCAGGAGCCTGACACAGCGGCTTCCCGACAGAGCCTTCAGCGGCGGAAGGAGCAACCGCTGCATCCTGATGCACTGCACGGCCGGCGCCAGCCTACCAGAGAGACCTGCGGTTTCCTTTCCGGGCTAGCGAAGGGGAAGCACTTCCGGTTCAGACTGCGCGTGAGCACGCTTCCCCTCAGCGGGAGGCTGGCAACTGCGCTTGCGCTGGGGACTCCGCTTCGCGGGGGCTGCCGGGGCGAGGGCGTCGGGGACGCCCAATGACGCGCGCCGCCGCAGTAGCCGCGTCTCGTCAGTCGCGCGCGCGCGCGCAGCCGCCGGGAGTTTGAGTGGAAACCGAAGGCGTGCGAGGGAGTCAAGCGGGGAGCATGAAGAAGGGGGTCCCCTGCGAGCGGAAACACCCGTGGATACCGTCGGGGAAGGCGGGTGCGGAAGGTGGCGGGGCCAGGGGCGGTCGGCCGCTCGGCCTGGGGCGGGGCCGGCCTGTCGGGCATTGCCGCCGAGTTCCCTCAGCTCCTCGCGGTTCCGGGGCTGTCAGGCCTTCCCGCCACGGCCCTCAGCTCCTCGCGGCGCTGGCAGAAGCTTTAAAGTTGATGGCTCCCGAGCCCCAGCGCGCTCTGCGAGCTTCTGCAAGTTAGCTAACTTCTCTCAGCCTCGCGTTCCCACGGCCGCAAGGGGGCGCCGGGACCCAGCACCCGCCCGCGCTGTGCCTGAGCAGTGGTGACTGCTCTGCCGCGGAGGTGGCGGGTGGGGACTCTACCCAAAGCAGTTCAGTGAACAGCGGCTGTTCCCTGTCCTGAATTCTCTGCCGGGCCATGGCTGGCTAGCGTGTTTTATGGGATTTTGGCAGATTGCCTCGTCTTCCTACTCCGTGAACTTTTGGTTCTCCAAACCAACGATTCTCATCCCCACCTTCATCCCTTCCCCTCCTTCCCCCTCCGCCCCAGTACATATTTGTCCTTCTTAAAAATTATCAGAGACCTCAAAGATTCTTTGTTGATTTTGACCATACTAAAAATTAAAATTTTAAAGCATTGACAGAATTAGAAAGTAACCATAATAAGTCCATTACAGATAATTAACACAGATAATTTACGGAGAATAAATATTCCTAAACAAAATAACGAAAGTGACGATGTTCTAATTTTGCAAATTTCATATGTCGCTTAAGGGAAGACAGCTCAATTCGCATACCTACATCAGCATTCAGCCTGGCACGTTCAGTAGCTTCCTGAGAATTCTATTGCGCTTGTGAAAGAATTAGAGTGAAAAAGGCAAATAAAGTCTTAGTACTATAGAAGTGGTTTTCACTCCACAAATTGAAAGGTTTCCCCAGAGCTCCCTGAGTACCTTAATCTGAGCACTGCGGTCTCAAATGTCTTCTTTTTTTTTTTTGTCTTTTTGAGATAGGGTCTCCCTGTAGCCCTAGCTGACCTGGAACTCGCAATGTAGACCAGGCTAGCCTCGAACTCACAGATCCGCCTGCCTCTGCCTCCCAAGTGCTGGGGTTACAGGCCTCTGACACCACGCCCGACTTCTTTTTTGATCTCTACCAAAAACTTGCCTAGGACACCCCTTACTCTGCCTCCTGTTGCAGCATTTTGTGAACACTTCCACCCTCTTCAGGGTTCTTGCATGAGGCTAATGATAATAATCCTGCAGCATTGTCCTAGTTCCACTGATGTGACTGTTGATGTTGGCATCAGATTTGTGGAGATAAATGCAGTTAGTGCAGTGCCGTTTAGGAGCACAGATTAACATTTGAGTCGTAGATTGGGACTGAGAGGATTTTATTATTATTAAATAAATAACAGTTGCAGTTTGGTATTACAGGGGACAGATTTTTGTTTTCCAAAGTTATTTTTTGGCATAAAAGCAATATTAGGTAGAAAAGCTCAAGCAATAGAGAAAAGTGAAAGGAACAAGTAATCTAAACTCTACCAATATGTGGTGACTATTCCAGAGATCACTGTAGGAAGTATGCATTCAATTTTATTTATTATTATCTGTGTGTTTCATGTATGCGTGATGTGGGTGGGTTGGTGCACTTGTGCCATACTATGTGTGTGGAGGTCAGAGGACAATTTTGTGGACTTCTCTCCACCCTTATCTGGGTTCAGGGGATGGAACTCAGGTTGCCAGGCTTACACAGCAAATGCCCTTACCTACTGAGCCAACTTTACAGGGCGCAGCATTCAATACTTTTAATTAAAAATAAGTTATATGTTTAATATACAAGAAAAACCCAAAGCTTTTCACACCTTTAGTTTCAATGTATGCATAAATTTGTGATTCAGATTTAGTAAATATCTGAGTGATTTATGGTCAGTAGGCTTGCTGAGGAGTGAAGATAAAGATGCCTTAAAGATCTTATTTAAGAACTTCATGTCACCTGTTATTTCTGTAAACGAGATAGAAGAAATTGAGTTTTAGTGAGAAACTAACTCAAATTATTGGAGTTCAAAAGGAGTAGATAACATTTTCTACTTTGGGAGAGAAAAAAGCATAGAATGTGACGTGGCATGAACGTTGGAAATTTTCAACATTTAAAGATGAAGCTAGGATGATTTTGTGAGTTGAGATAGTTATAAGCAATGGCAAAGATGAAGTCTGAAGAAAGCTGGGGTTATTAAGAAATAATGTGTAGGTTTACTAATGGTAATGAATGCTGTTTGAATACTTAATAGGTACTATGCTGTTTATATAAATAATCTTAAATTTCACTACTGAGAGTAAGTGCTAAAACCTACCTTATTTTATAGAAAACAAGTAATTTGTCTAGGGTCACACAATAAATAAAATGGTGGGACCAGGATTTGAAATCTATCCTTTTAAGGATGTATTCCATGTAAAGATCTATGTATGTGCCCACATTGAGAAACTTTCTGACACTCTGAGCTGGGACATAATGATGAGGTCTGTGGTCTAGGAAGATTAATTTCACATTTAGTGTGTATTTTCCTCAGTTTAGTTTCTTTTGCATGTGTCTGTATATCTGTTTCACAGCCCAAAGACACCAATTTAATAACTTCTGTGGTATTTTACTACATTCATGGGCCTAGTGCATCTATGCATTTATTATTGCACATTTGGATTTAGGCAACAAAGTATGAAATATTTATGGAAAATTGGTGTGAATTGGATAGTTCCTTCAAGAATTTCTGTTGTGCATATATTTTAGGACCAGCAAATGGATTTCTCATGGAAGTGTGTGTAGATTCAGTGGAGTCAGCTGTAAATGCAGAAAGAGGAGGTAAGAAAAACTATAGAATGAGTAATAGTTGGCAACTTTTTTTTTTCAGTAAATATGTCAAAAGGTATTCAATCTCTGTAATAATCAGAAATATATTTTTTAAATTAAAAATTTTGTGATTTTCATACCATATAATTTGATGGTATTTAGATCCCCTCCTTTATGCATACTTCCCCTTAATGCCCCTTACCCAGTATAATATGCTCATTTTATATATATATATATATATATATAAAACAAGGCCTGTAGAGTCTAATTTATGTCCCCAAATGTCCTTCAGTGTGGGTCTATCGCCTAGAACCTGGTTAACCTACCAAGAGTCACTTCCTTGAAAGAGACTGTCTCTGCCCCTCCTAGAAGTCATCTTTGGCAACCCTTTCTAGAGTTTGAAAATGAATCCTATAACCTGTCCTCAAAACTCCTTGCTGAGCTGGGCATCTGGGAGGCTGAAGCAGAAGGATCATTGTGAATTTAAAGTTAGCCTGGACCACAGAGTGAGATGCCATTTAAAAAAAAAAAAAAAGCCCTTGTCATCTTTAGGATACTAATAACGCTTCAGAAACAACCTACTGAAGAGCTTGACGTGGTGGGACATACCTAATCCCAGCACTAGGAGCCTGAAGCCAAAGGGTATGAAAGTTTGAGGCCAACTTAAATTTCTTCAGAAAGAAAAAGAAAAGAAAAACCATTGGAAGATTATAATCTAGTCTCTCTTCCCCCCAAGCAGGTCACATTTTGAGGAAAGTGTCTGTAATAGTGCTTACTTATTAACTAGGTGATCTTATTAAACTTAGCAGAAATTTAAAAATTTGAACTTGTTGATTTAAAGATAACTCTTTAGAGATGGACATTGAGAGTATAGCTCAATGAGAGAGCACTTTGCCTAGTATGTTCAATCCCCAGCACCAAATAGGAATAAAAATTAAAGATGGTTTCAGACCTGTCATCTATTTTAACCCTAGGTTGTTTTGGATTCTGAATTTGTTTTAGTGAGGAACATAGGCATTTCCATCATCTCAGGATCAGAAAAAGTTAATTTAATATAATTTAATTTTTGGTAGTGCTTGGGATCAAACCCAGGACCTTGTACATGTTGAGCAAGCATTTTACTACAGAGCTATCTCCCTAGTCCTTAATTTTTTATTAAGGAAAAATTTCAAAAATTTTTACTCTTACGAAGTAGAGAAATTTGATGAATATCCATGTACTCACCATTCAGCTCTGTATTAGTTGCTCTTCTTGTTACTGTGAAAAAATATCTGACAAAACAACTTAAGGAAGGAAAAATTTGTTTTAGCCCACAGTTTGAAGCTGATCACATTCTCCGCAGTCAGGAAGCAGAGAGAAACAGATGCTGGTGCTCAGTTGGCTTCCCCTTTTTTCTTTTTTACTCAACTTGGGACCCCAATTGATGAGATAGTGCCACTCATATTCAGGGTGGATCTTCCTGAGTTAATTTCTCTGGAAATCCCCTCCTAGGTGATTCCAAATCCAGTCAAGTTGAGAGTGAAAATTAACCATTCAACCATTTTTAACACATGACCAATCTTCTCTTAACTACATCAGCAATCAGCATACATTTTTAGTAGAGAACCATGTACATGTTTGCAATTTTGCTGGTTACATTTGATGTCACTCTTTTTTGCCTTTTTTTTTTTTTTTTTTTAAATTCTACAGTTGATCAAATTCAAGGTCTTATACTTGCTAGGCAAGCACTCTACTACTGAGCTAAATATCCAACCCCTTTTTGTTTTTTAGAAACCTTTGAAAATGTAGAATCCCTTTTTGCAATAAAAAGGAATGATGCATGGATACATGCTATAACAGATGATTTTTTTTTTCCTGATGCTGGGGCTTGAACCCAGGGCCTTGCACATGCTAGATAGCTACTCTATAACTGAGCTACATCCCTTGTTTTGGTTGTCTGTAGCCCAGTGTGGCCTAAAACTTGTGGTCTTCCTGCCTAAGCCTCTCAAGTGCTAGGACTGCAGGCATGTACTGCTCTACCCTACATGGTTTCCTCATTTAAAAAAAAATTCTTTTTTTTTTTTTCCTTTTTGTAGATGATTTGTTATAGGCACTATGATGTTCGTCATTTAGAGCACTATAGTCTCAATTTTTCTTAAACAAGTTGTACCATTTGATGTGTTTCTATGACCACTTTATTCCCTGTAAAGTTGTAGTTGACCCACCAGTTTAAAATCAAATTCAGAAGCTAGGACTTTAATTCCAACACTTTGGAAGCAGAGGCAGACAGATCTCTGAGATCAAGGCCAGCCTGGTCTACATAGTGAGTTCCTGGTCATTTGGAGCTGCTCTAGCTTGTTTCTCCATTGCTATGACACAACATTATGACCACTACCAACTTGGGTAGGAAAGGGTTTATTTGTCTTAGATCTCCCATGTTATAGTTCATCAGGGAGCCCAAGGTAGGAACTCAGGGCAGAAACCTGGAGGCAGGAGCTGGAGCACAGGCCATGGAGGAACGCTGCTTACTGGCTTGCTCCCCTGGCCCCTGCTCAGCCTAATTTCTTATGCAACACAGGCCCACCTGCCCAGGGGTGGCACCACCCATAGTGGGCTGGGCCCTCCCACATCACTCAACAATCAAGAAGATGCTCCACAGACATGGCCATAGGCCAATCCCATGGACACAATTCCCCAAGTGAGACTCCCTCAATCCAGGTGTGTCAAGTAAAGCTGTCCAGCACAGGGGCTATAGGGAAACACTGCCTCAAAAAAAAAAAAAAATCAGATTCAGACTTGACCTTTAATAAAACTGGTTTATAGGCAATTTTCTGTTGTGTTGGTATCTTGTGTTTTTCTGTTTATTGTGATGATAAGATTGATCAATGGATCAATGGATTCAGGTATTATCAACCTGATTCAT